ACATAGAAACCCACACGCGGCAGTATTTGTTCATAGTGTCCTGTCTGTAACAAACTCAATCCAAATGTTAAAATTAATATCGGTTGACTGAATGCTTAACAGGTTCAAGTGCAGGGTCACTTACCCTGCAGTACAATTTCACAGAAACACTGCTCTACTTTAGATAGGGATTTATTCAACTTTCCTTGATACTCAAAACTGATTCTCACATGTCAAGTGTATGGGTGAGTGAGTGAGTTGGGTTTTACGCCGCTTTTAACAGTATTCCAGTTATATCGCGGCATGTCAGCTTAATGTGGGAGGAAAGCCCAAAGTGATGCAGGTCTCAGACGTTTACCACTTCGGTGAAACCCACGAGCACGGGTATGGTGCTGACAAACCTAGAAACATAATCGGGGCGAACCGGGATTCGAACCCACAATCATAGGTTTCTGGCATGCCCAAGGGACGCAACTTTGCACACCGAATTGCGGCGCCTTAGACGACTGGGCCACCTGTGCCCCCTGTCAAGTGTATGTTTCAATAGAACGACAAATTCGACGTAATAAGCGCCCAGGGCGCTCTCAAAATCAGAAATAGGGGGCTCTTATTAGAATATTATTTTGGTGGAAAAAAGAGAGTTGAAAGATAAATTTCGTGGTTTATGCTGACACACTGAAATGTTTATATGCGACAGATACATTTTTCCAGAATTTAATTGCCCATAATTCAGAATGCATATAACACACGAGTGCGTATTATACGCAAATAAATAAGTCTTGTGTACATTGAACAATCGGAAGGAGTGCTAATTGGGATTGTTCACTAGCCAATACATTAGCAAATATCGCTGTGGGTGCTTATTAGAGCGGGGCGCTTATTACGTTGAATACGTACTGTAAATCTTGAAATTGACACGAGCGTGAATTAAATGCAAAAAATGCGAGTGGTCTTCACTCGCATTAATCAACTTCGCATTTATGTCTCCAAAATTACTGTTAACAATAAGACGGCCTCATGGCACACTTTGGATAACGGTAATACCAACTTGAATATAAACACAAACACGGTTTATTGAGCAGCAGTTGTAACAAGTATATATCAATGTCATTCAAAGAACAGGAATTACACAATGGGCATCCGGTGAGTTATCACTGCTTGGGTCAAGAGTTCTACCCACTTGTGTCAAGCTTGTTGACACCTTATCCACATACCAATCAGTGAACTGTTATTTTATTGTCTTTGAACTTCCTTTATGCCAGTCAACAGAGTAAACATATGGACTGTGTGTTGTTTTTAGGAAAACACTGTTTATTGATTTTTTTTCGGAACTGCTCAACACAGTGCTAATAAGCCTGAGTGAGTGAGTGAGTGAGTTGAGTTTTAACGCCGCTTTTAACATTATTCCAGTTATATCAAGGCGTGTCAGCTTAATGTGGGAGGAAAGCCCAAAGTGATGCAGGTCTCAGACGTTTACCACTTCGGTGAAACCCACGAGCACAGGTATAGTGCTGACAAACCTAGAAACATAATCGGGGCAACCGGGATTCGAACCCACAATTATAGGTTTCTGGACCGCCCAAGGGACGCAACTCTGCACAGCGAATCGCTGCGCCTTAGACGACTGGGCCACCCGTGCCCCCTGCTAATAAGCGGAACTATTTGCTATTTGATTGGACTAAGGTAGGGATATGTATCATTCCACTGGAAATGGGGTGGAGGGAGTCGCATTGATATTGAGTCACATTTTTGGTTAGGGGTCAGCAGTTGTATTGTTTTGGAGACACATCAATTTCAAGATTTACAGTATCTGATTATCCCTATTAAAGGTTGAATAGTGTATACCTTACCTGAATGAAAGTAACTTCTGCCCCGTTCAATAAATCGATCTTAGCGCTAAGACTGGTGAGTCTATGTTATGGGAATTACGACCATCTTGGCGCTAAGATTGTGTTGTGGTATACGGACCCTGGGCAATACTGTCTGTTATTCCATGCAGTTATTTCTGATTCATGCCACATGGTATTAACATGGTATTTATGTCAGGCAAGATCAGAAAAAAATCACTTCATCAGTTGCAACAGAGCAAAATATTAAAAGTCTAGACTAGATCATGTTAATCAGGGCAAGCCAATGTTCCAGACAACTAGCTGGCATGACTAACAGAATTGCTAAACAAGTACATATATTTGTTATCATAAACTTCGCTTAAATAGATCTTCCTAGAAGGCTTATCACAAATGTAACATTGAAAAAGTTGAAACTATTAAGCCAACAAAGAGATTTTATGAATGCTTCACTAGATCACATGCACCAGAGCTTGTGGCAAAAGGGCATATTCAGCAACACTAATCATAATAATAAAAATAAAATATGAAATTGTTCAGCTCTTACATTCTGCTTCAGTTTTGCAGAAGAGACTTATAAAGCAAGACACTTTGGATGCAGGTTAAGCCAATCATCTGATAGTCTTAAAATGTTATCAGGAGAAATCAGTACATTAAATTACAGAAGGATAATTGATAAATTTATTACATTTTCAAAAGTAAACGATACCCTAAATCTCTATGAGAATCAGTAATGAATCCACTTTAAACAAGTGTGACTATTCATTGCACCTAAAATATAATAAATACATATACGGTATGAAATAATATTTCCTGTAAAGAATTTTTTAAATTGATGATTTTCAAACTACCATGAGTTCTGAAGAAATGTATAATGAGTCTGGTTAACGCCGCTTTGAACATTATTCCAGTTACATCAGGGCAGATCTTTACCACTTCAGTAATACCCATGTTAACGGGTATGGTTCTGATAATCTGAGAATATCAGAAAAGTAATTAAATAATACTTTCAATTAGTTACTTTTCAGCTAAAATTGCCGGATCCATAAACCAAAATATTAATCATAATTAATCACCTTAGACAGGAGTTCTAATAAGCCTTATGTCAATGCAGCATTCATAAGAGCTTGAGAAACAGATACCGTATTCGACGTAATAAGCGCCCAGGGCGCTCTTAAAATTCAAAATAGGGGGCTCTTATTAGAATATTATTTTGTCCCCCCAAAAAACAGAGTTGAAAGATAAATTTCGTGGTTTATGCTGACAGCCTGAAATGTTAATATACGAGGGATATATTTTTCCAGAATTCAATTGCCCATAATTAAGGGTGCATATAACAAACGAGTGCATATTATATGCGAATAAATAAGTATTGTGTACATTGATCAATCGGAAAGGGTGCTAATCGGGATTGTTCACGAGCCAATATATTAGCAAATATCGGCGTGGGCGCTTATTAGAGCAGGGCGCTTATTACCTCGAATACGGTAATTAATATCATTTGGTTTTAGTAAAGCATTTTAGACCTTTTAATCTGTTGACATTCTACAAATGGAAGCACTAGTGGTTTTATATACATGAAAGTTGCAAGGTATTGTTTGGAGAGCTACTGGTGAGGCAGTCCATACAGTGTTTATACATATACAGAAGATTAAATATGTGTAATATCTTATACATTGACTCCGACTGACAAGACTTTCCACTCTTCAAAGAACTTTATGGAAGATGTTTTGCTAAGACTATTTCTTCCTTCCTCCTATAACCTTGATTCATAGTCATTCACACACCAGACAAATTGTTTTGTGTTCCAATAACTGTAAACTTCAAATCAGATGAACTGAACAAGATACCAAGAGTAAATGGATTCCAGGGTATAAAGGAATAAATTCAAAGTGGGCCCATGTTTCCCAATTGTGAAATAGGGTAACTGGAGTTACCTCCCTTGATACTCATCACCTCAACATTGCCAAAGTTCAACAAAATATTTGCATGTGTAGAGGAAATAAATACATGTTTCATAAATAGTACTAATTGCACATTGTAAAAAATGTTAGTCTGAACGCTAATGAAATACATTCTCCATTGCCTAATTCTAAAGAACGTGAAAGTTAAAAAGTTATGAAGTCAATTTTCAAGTGCATGCATATTTACCGAACGGAGATAAGATGTAAATGTAAATGTGAAACCAATTGCTAAAGGTTGGTAAATTCAAAACAGATAATGTACTTTGTAATGTAAACTTCTGAAAAACATTGCAAATATTTACAGTTATTCCTATAACCATATCTTCACAGTTTCTTTGGGGAATTGACATTTTTCACAGTTTCAAATAGAACAAATATCCTAGCAGTATGAGTGAGTGAGGGAGTTGGGTTTAACGCCGCTTTTAACAGTATTCCAGTTATATCACGGCGTGTCAACTTAATGTGGGAGGAAAGCCCCAAGCGATGCAGGTCTCAGACGTTTACCACTTCGGTGAAACCCACGAGCACGGGTATGGTGCTGACAAACCTAGAAACATAATCGGGGTGAACGGGGATTTGAACCCACAATCATAGGTTTCTGGTGTGCCCAAGGGATGCAACTCTGCACGGCAAATCGCGGCGCCTTAGACGACTGGGCCACCCGTGCCCCCCCTCCCTAGCAGTATGAACGAAAAGAAAGTGATAAACATCATTCTGTACCAGATGCTTGAACCATCAACACGTGAACACTTGTTGCAGAAAACTGCTGCAGATTTTTTGCGAATATAAGTGGACACATTGACGAAGCTTACAATTAGTGCAAGAACACTTGTTGGCAGCTGGGTAACAGACATGTAGATTGGAACAATGTGTGCGGAGAGACATCACCTGAACAAGGAGACACACAACACATCATTGGTGACCAACTCGTGTTATTCCGGGACAAGCCGAATAGCGACTCGTGCCCCTCTCAGGGCCATTTTTGCGACCGGGTTCCGTCTTAGCGCAAACGGGCATACCTAAAGCAATTGTCAACTCGTTGGGTAATAGTTCACATATATTTCCCCATACATTATATTATATTTCAGATGCAATTTAAAGCACATCGGGATACGCGTAAGTATACAGTATGATTGAACACATTTAACTGTGTCGTTGGTATATTTTTAGATGCGAGACATATGTAGAATCAGAAATTATTTCTGAGGATTCTTTGACAAAGAACTTGAAATCATACACGCATTCCCATTGGTTTGTCGTATTTTCGCACATAACATTCATCGATAGGGGGACGAGTCTTCTTGCAGGTTACGGAAAGGGGCGAGTGGTGACAAATGACAACACATGGGAGGGGATTGCACCTCGAGGCCAAGGTCAAACAGGAGTTTCAGTCCTGGAAGAGTTCTGTCCGTTGGTGACGTACCAGTACATCTTCGGTGTATATCAGCATGACATGCTCTGAAACAATTGTTGTGTACGCTTGATCTCGGTACATTTCATGTGTCCCTTGTGTCCTTCGCGTGAGAACACCAGTAGTGTTATCATCTAGCGTTATCTTGCATCCAGTTCCAGGGAATTAAGGCATTGTGTCATCGGAACTGTCTACGCAGCTACTGACACATTGTGACGGGATCAATGTCTGTCTAACAACACATTGTGTTTTTGGAACAATGTTGATCTAAACAGAGTGTGACACATTGTTTTAAAGGAAACACATCGTCAAAACAGCCACTGACACGTTGTGTTAGGATCTACGTCTGTCTTGAAACATATTGTGTTTTTTCAACTTTGTTCATTTGAACAACTTGTGACACTCAGTGTCCAGATAAGAGTTATCTGAATTTATTTATGAGAAGGGGAATGCAAGAGGAGTTTGCGATGGTTTTGCGGATCACCTCTGCCACAAGCATATATTTACACTGGGGGTTACGACATATTTCGTAACTACTAAACATCTAACACTGGTATTTGACGACTTTCATCTATTTTCCATCCTTCCAAAGTCAAGTGTGTGACCCTAAATTCTAAATACCAAAGAGCATAAAATCACATAAATAATTGTTGTGGCATAAGTATAAAGGAACGAGCAAAGCAGTTTTGTTGCAACTATCATCTACTTCATCACGTCTGCAATATGGGCAATATCATTCAGCCGTGTCCCAACATCTCTCTCATGACAAAACACATCCACATTGAGAACTTTCCCAGCACTTGCCTGCTCTTCATCTTGATAATCACTGTCCCACACAACTATCCATTGCAACAAAATGATGCTGTATCGTCAATATTATTCCATGGTTTATGTACACAGCAAATGACGTAAGATCACATTGCTTCATCTAGGAAACACGAATTTTAATCTCTGAAATGTTGCAATGAAGTATAGTTGCACCACCTGACCAAGCCAGTTTTGTAGTCACATAATTCAGTCATTTTAAGTTTCACCATCCAGTTCTTGTCGACCTGTCATTGTATGAAGTCAGATTGCACTTTTCAGATCACACCAGTTTTATCCACGCACATGAGTCTGTACAGTCCTGATTACTCCAGTTTTATCCAGTGCCCTCTTCAACATGAATCTGTACAGTCCAGATTAATCCAGTTTTATCCAGTGCCCTCTTCAACATGAATCTGTACAGAGCAGATTAATCCAGTTTTATCCAGTGCCCTCTTCAACATGAGTCTGTACAGTCCAGATTAATCCAGTTTTATCCAGCGCACACAGCATGAGTCTGTACAGTCCAGATTAATCCAGTATTATCCAGTGCCCTCTTCAACATGAGTCAGTTCAGTCCAGATTAATCCAGTTTTATCCAGCGCACACAGCATGAGTCTGTACAGTCCAGACTATTCCAGTTGAATCTGGTACTAACATGTATGACTCTGGTTCTACCTGAACAGCCACTGCAGCACGACCTGGGCGGCCAGCACGATGGCCAGTAGGACCCACTCCCTCCCAGTGCTGCGTGCGACCATGGTAGCCTGGGCCTCCTGAGTCTGCTGGACTTTAAACATCTGCTGCTGCAGGGTCTTCAGGGACTTGTTGATATCCTGCTGGACTTGCAGCAGTGGCTCCACCAGCTTGCTGATGTTCTCCTCCGACATGCGCACCTTCCCGTTGCTAGGAGACTGGTGCAGACTGCTGCCTGTGTCTGTGAGGAAATAGCGTTGAGAATATATGAGTGAGTGAGTGAGTATGTATGGTTTTATGCCGCTTTTAGCAATATTCCAGCAATATCACGGCGGGGGACACCAGAAATGGGCTTCACACATTGTACCCATGTCGGGAATCGAACCCAGGTCTTCGGCGTGACGAGCGAACACTTTAACCACTAGACTACCCGACCGCCCCAAGAATATATGAGAAAGCTACACAAATTGTAAATAGAAGAGTGTGTCATTAGCAAGTAAGTGACAACGTAGACACAAAAAGTACCATTAATCACTTGGCATTACTTAGGAAACAACTGAGACCTTAGTCTGCATATTTAAAAACAATAAGCACTTGCAATAACAAACAGGGGGGGCTAACTCTTTGTCATGTTACAATTACCTCCCTTACATTATATCACAGTTATCTCCCTTTGACCAACAAGCTATACAGTTTACTGTTAATCTGCAGAAATGCATGTACATTAGAATAACAGTCAATGTTTACATAAAATTTCTGGTCCAGTTGTTGTCTGACTTACTTGTGCACTCGGAGGAATCGCTCTCATGGCGATGTTCAGGGTCAGGTGTCGAACTTCCGCTCTCATCCCTTCGTCGACTCATGGATGACCTTTGCACTCTGGGAATATTGGCCAACATCAAAGCCGACTTTTCATGTTTCTGTTCCAGACTAGTAATACTCATTGTCCGAACCACAGGGGTCCGATGTCTTGTGTGTGTTTGAATTATATACTCATTTTCATATTGCACTAAATCATTGCTTGGGTCCCATGGCCGCATACTGTGAATAGAAATGTAACTTCATGACTTGTCATTGTAAAAAGAGAGAAAAATGTTTTCAAAGGGAGAAATAAAGAACTCATTATAAACTTGTCACTGGCAACAACTTGCTCCATGAAATATACGAGAAAAAATTCTCAGTACAGAGTGAGTAAGTGAATGTTGTTTTACGCCGCAGTCAGTATGATTCCTGCTTTATCATGGCACCTGCTAGTCTTCACATCTTGGCTTTGGTCAAAAAACAATAAGAATAATAAAACAATAAATCAGCTTTTGGCATCGTTTCTGATGTGGAAAACTATTATGGTTGTCTTGTCTGGACGAGACAATCCAGTGATTGACATCATGAGGATCGATTAACACAATTGGGATACGGTGATTTTATTACAAGCATGGGTTGTTGAAGACCAATTCTAACACGGATCTACATGTGTGACTAACACAGGGATATTTAACTGAGGCAGTTACCAACAAAGCTTCTGAACCAAGACCTGTTTATCCAAATATCGTTATACCCTGAGACAAGCATGATATAGACAACATACTCAATATGTCTGTAAATCCAGTCAGCAGTTATCACATCTCGCTCGAAGTATTTGGGTATCCACTCCTCCAGCTTGGCTTTCCGTTCCCGCGCACCGCTGCGTTGTCGTTCTTCCAGGAAGTGTTTCTCCTGTGTGGCACGGTGCATGTCTGACGCAATCACAGCATCGCTGACATTCTTCCACAGCCTACAACAACGTAGCAACAACATTGTAGAAACCATGACAACAACACTGTAGGAAACATAACAATGAGTGAGTGAACTGGTCATAAAGCCACTTAAAACAGTACTCCAGGTTTCAGCGTGTCAGCTTAATGTGGGAGAAAAGCCCAAAGTGATGCAGGTCTCAGACGTTTACCACTTCAGTGAAACCCACAAGCTTGGGTATGGTGCTGACTAACTGAGAAACATAATCGGGATTCGAACCCACAATCACAGGTTACTGACGTGTCAAGTGACGCACTCTGCACAGCGAATTGTGCGCCTTACACATCTGGGTCACCCGTGCTCCCAGAAACCATGACAACAATGCCGCATGCAACAACACTGCAGATAACATAAGACAAAATTAATGTTTGCATTTGAATTTTGTAGATCATGTGATATATCATATTTCCCAATGATAAAGCTGAGACATATCCGAACAACTGCCAAGGCGGCCATCTTTAAATGCATACTGGAATTCTGTGAGTAAATTTTAGACACCAGTACACTACTGATATATTTCACAATTCAGTTTCATACACCCTGTTTGTTGTTGGTGTTTGTTCACCCTGTTTGTGAGCCGATGTCACACACGGGAACATCACACCTTATGAGTGAGTGAGTATGGTTTTACGCCGCTTTTAGCAATATTTCAGCAATATCACGGGGAGGGGACACCAGAAATGGGCATTACACATTGTACCCACACACCTTATGACCTGGGGGATCGGTTGATAAAGAATTTATCTTGCTGACATTCATTCATACAGGTCTGGAATATAGGTATGCAGTGTCACTGAGTTAGCAAAACTCATTGCAGACGACACAAATGAACGGAGTTACTTCCCTTTACCCAATGCATTCGGATAAACAGAGGTTCATTTCAGAAAGTCCATGATACATATTTCAGCAAGTTACCAAAGATGTTTTCAAATTGATTTCTCAGCAGGCTACATGAGTCAGCTACATGCACAATCATTGCCCCCTCATTAACCAATCAGAAGCTAGTATTGTAATATGAAGTAACATTTTCCGAAGGTAGCAGTTCATACCAGAGAAGAGATGGACTGACACATAATTGGTACAGGACCATTATGTTATAGTGAGGTTGCTTATCAAGAAACAGCAAAGGGAGGACAGGCTCAACGATACACCACCATGCTATCTAAGATGACATCATACAAAATACTTTGACTTTACAGCAGTTCACAGCAACTTCTTTCCTTGATAATTTACGGGCAAAGAACAATGAAGAATGAAGTGTGGTTTATTTCGTGATAAAACATTGTTCTATCATGATGTCATTTCTGGAGATTTGAACATGCGCTCGCAACTTGAGGATGCCATATATCGGAAGGCGTAATTTTTGAAAGGGGAGTGTCTAGTGAGTTGTGCCCCATAGATGTAGCTGGCAACAGAAAAACAGGATGGTCGAACGATTACATCAAAAGTGGGAGAGATATGACAATTGTGTATTGGGAGAAATGGTAATCAATGTGAGGATTGTGAGAATATGCGGGAAATATCCACCTGTTCATAAAATGGACTTGTCCAACATTGCTGAGGTTGGATATTATTGAGGGAGTCATCATTATTAAAATAAGGGTAAATAGTTTTAAAGCTTGTACATTTTATCATCATCCTTAAAGAGACTGAAATTAATGGTTATATTCAAACCAGTGTCATTAATATTCAGGATTTTTGCCACTAAATGATATAAATGCAAACATCCACAGTGATTAAAGAGTGTCCTCTTCGGCTTGGTCATGAATTACAGGTTACACAAGCTGTGGAGTCCTCCCTGCATCAAGGAAGATGATACACTCATCAAGCATCTCACCTCTCCGACTCCATCTCCCCTTGTGTCTCGATGGGCAGGGTGTATCTCTTCAGACGCTGACTCTTGATCTCAGGTGTTGGGTTCCAGAACAACTCTTGTTCCTGAAATACAGGAATTAATGTTCCTGTAATTCACACATAGCTGTTGCAGAAATTCAAGCATAAAAGTTCCTCAAGTACACTGTTAATGTTCCTAAAATAAAACATGAGGCTCCTGCTCCTCTTACCCCTGTGGACTGAACCCCAGCATCCCCACAATGAACCTCCTGCTCCTCTTACCCCTGTGGACTGAACCCCAGCATCCCCACCATGAAGCTCCTACTAGTCTTACCCCTGTGGACTGAACCCCAGCGTCCCCACCATGAAGCTCCTGCTCCTCTTACCCCTGTGGACTGAACCCAACCATGAAGCTCCTGCTAGTCTTACCCCTGTTGACTAACCCCAGAATCCCAACCATGAAACTCCTGCTCCTCTTACCCCTGTGGACTGAACCCCAGCATCCCCACCATGAAGCTCCTGCTCGTCTTACCCCTGTGGACTGAACCCCAGCGTCCCCACCATGAAGCTCCTGCTAGTCTTATCCCTGTTGACTGAACCCCAGAATCCCAACCATGAAGTTCCTGCTGGTCTTACCCCTGTGGACTTGTCCTTGATGTAGATCTCATGGTCCCAGTGCCCCTCCAGAGTGTACAGGGTGTCCAGCCCCAGCTTCAGCTTGCCCGTGATCCGGTTGGATGCCTCGCCACTACCCAGGAATGGCTGAAATGTACCGATGGCATAGATATAAACCACTTTAGATTCGACCTTCTACCAATATACAATGGACATTACTTGGTGTGGTGGTGAGGTGAAATGGGGTTTAATGTCGTGTCCAAAATTATTGCACTTATATAGTGACATGCATGCACGTGTATTACTGCTTGTACTTGTCCGGACTGATGCCGATTTATAGTGCTATGATAGATACCACGCCGCAGTTTAACATGAATACCCCACTCAGACACAGCATACTGACTCCGAGCCGACCAGTCCTTGTTTAAGCCCCTTAATGCCAAGCGCCAGACAGGGTAACAACAAGTACCATCTTTTAACGTCTTTTGGTATGACGCAGCTGGGGATCGAACCCCGTACCTTCCGCTCTCTGGGTGGACGCTCTACCACTAGACCACAGAGGCAGTCGGACATTACTTGGTATTCATTTAGATCTTTTTATCTGGATGAGACATGGTTAAATAGGGTTAACATCGTGTTCAAGCTCACTGCACCTATATAGCGACATGCCAACACAATTTTATAGTGCTAGCCACTGAGATACTCAACACAGACACAGCATACTGACACCAAGCCGACCAGTCCTTGTTTTATCCCCTTTAAGAGGCGACTAACGGGATCGGGTGGTCAGACTCGCTGACTTGGTTGATGCATGTCATCGATCCCAATTGCGTAGATCGATGCTCATGATATTAATCACTGGATTGTCTTGATTATTTACAGACCGCCGTCATATAGCTGGAATATTGCTGAGTGCGGCGTTAAACAACAAACCAACCAACCAACCTTAATGCCCAGCGCCAACAAGGTAGCAACAAGTACCATCTTACAACTTTTCACTGTACACACGCTCATGTAAGAATCATTTCAGTGTGGAACAGTTTTCTTTTTAACTCTATGTATATATGTTTTCTCTGAACTATCAGATTAAAACAAATTACTGAACAGAATCTTAATTTGTGAAAGTCCTACCTTGAGTTTGAATTCTAGTTCACATCTGTATCCTGTCTTGGGGCAATCCAAGGTCACCTTGCCACCCATCTCCATGGTGAGAGTGCCGATCAGTATACCTGAAGTATATTACGCTCATCAGCTACATCATGCAACAGTAAGGAGCTTGACACCTTATTTGTGAGTGAACTATCTCACAATATATCAACTGATGAAAACATACTCATTGGAAGGAGTGAGTGAGTGAGTTGGGTTTAACGCCGCTTTTAACATTATTCCAGTTATATTGCGGTGTGTCAGCTTAATGTAAGAGGAAAGCCAAAAGTGATGCCGGTCTCAGACGTTTAACACTTCTGTGAAACCCAGGAGCATGGGTATGGTGCTAACCAACCTAGAAACATAATCAGAGCGAACCGGGATTCGAACCCACAATCATAGGTTTATGGTGGGGCAAAGGGACGCAACTCTGCACAGTGAATCGACGAATCGACGACTGGGCCAACCGTGCCCCCGACAAGCATGTTTCAAAATATAAAACAGTGACATATTTTGAATATTTCTGTGTATACACATATATTGTAGGGCCTGTTACTGATTGCTGCTGCCTCTCATATGGCCTTGTTTGTTTGTAAAGCTAAAACTGTGTGTTTCAATGTAAATTTAGTACTGATTATTCATTGATCTTGTGCATTACCATTTGGTCAAGGACAATAACAATTCATGGCATCACTGAAAGTTTCCAACAAGATCCTATTACCTTTACAATGGGCATATGGCATTGTGATGAAATAGTCCTCCCCTCGCTTGAGGAACGTCAGTTTGGCTGTGCCATCCAGCATGGCGGATAGTGAGTTGCCTGCAGAAACAGTGTGGAGGTGTACCATGAGACATGATAAGTTGTCCACCGGAGTGAGTGAGTGAGTGAGTGAGTGAGTTTGGTTTTACGCCGCTTTTAGCAATATTCCAGCAATATCACGGCGGGGGACACCTGAAATGGGCTTCACACATTGTACCCATGTCGGGAATCGAACCTGGGGCTTAGGCGTGACGAGCGAACGCTTTAACCACTAGGCTACCCGAAGGCCCCCGATAATATGAGTCAACATCAGTTGATGTAACCTCTAGGTTTGTTTATGTTCCCAGAGCCCAAAAGGCATATAGCAGGCGACAGAAAATAAACTTAGAGTTACTCCCCTTAGATCTATTTCATTTGGAAAATATCTGAAATATCCAGAGATATCATTACATAAATAATTTGAGAACAAAAGTGTGGTTGGTTTGTTTCAAAAGTAATGCCAACAGTTTGACAAAGTCGAGCGGGGGAACATAAGAAATGAACCTTACATGTTAGCAGGATACATTGAAAATAATAGAATGGGTCTCAGCCAATCAGAATCTGACATTTATGTGTAAGGTACGGTAAGGGCAGTTAAACCATTGCATCACTTATCCAACCTGAGGAAACTACGAAAACTGACACTTCATTATACGACAAAAATAAAAAACGTTTTCAAAGTCTATGTTCAAAATCTGTTAAAATTTTTCATTTGAACATTCCAAATATTATCCCTACTCAAAATGAATATCAAAGAACAAAAATATGAGAAACTGAAATAAGTTTTGGCTTTACCTGGAGGTGAATGTTTTAAGGCTTTTAGAAATGAAGAATGATATAGTAATCAGCTCTATACCACAGGTAAATTTGGTTTCCTATTTTAATAAACAAGCATATTCTGTAGATGTGCATTGACTGTGGTTACCATAGAACTTGGACTTGGCGAGGATGCTGCCGCTGATGTTGAAGCCGTCTCTCCTGTTTGTGACGAAGAAGGCCGACACGGGAGGATGGTGGGAGATCTGCAGCAACAATTTGGTCGAAACTAATACGAAGATAATACGTCTTCGATTTTAGATTTTAGGGTTTTGCCTTCCTCTGAGCCTAAGGAGAAAGTGTGTTACAAGGCTACCCTTTTCTCAAGCTAATTATAATGTCAAAGTACTTATGGTCAATTATTGGTCAAGGCGTGAGCCGAGTGCAATATTTCCCTGCTAACCTAATATGACATCGTATACGGCCACTAATGACACCATGACAAATATATTTTGCCGAAAAGTTTACACTGTTTTGTATCATTGTCGCACATGTTATGTTAAAGTGAAAACTTGACATTTAAAATGGGCATAAATGACAGGACCAGTATATATATATAATGCACTCATCATGCTCAATGTGAACATTTAAACAAGTATTATAACTAAAATGGATAGAATTATAATAAAACTGCCCGCATGTTAACAGGAATCTGTGGTCAACTGTAACTTAATAGCAGTCCGCTTATCACTAACGACTGGCTGCTATCTATTCTGTTGCAATGTGACGTCATTGGTGTCACATTTCTTGTTTGTGACGTCATCGTATATTATGTTCAATGAAGTTGCTATTTGTAAATCAGTGACCTCCATTGTGACCTTTTTTCTGTATAATTTTAGTAAAAAAGTCACAAACGTAGTTTCTTTAAAAATTAATGCACATCACTATTCATTATATTAAAACACAAAACAGTGTCGAATAACGAATTTCTGTACCAGAATGTTCTTGTGAAATATGTGTGGTGGGTGTTGGAAAATCCAAGATGGCTGTTACTGACAGTATACAGTCTCATATTAGGTCAGTATCAACCATCTTGGATTTTTACTGACAGTATACTGGCTTATCTGGGGTCAGTTGATCTGCTCTCTGATTGGTCAACCTCACTTTGAGGCATAATAAAATCATGTGCTCATCACCCCAAACAAGTGTTGATACAAAGATCCTGATGAACAAAGGACTAATCTGTTCCCCATGTAACATGTCAACATTCCACAGCCTGCATTATTTAGCGTTTTCCTCCCACATTAAGCCACAGCCAGAGAAATTGTGAATGAGTGAGTGAGTCTGGTTCAACACCGGTTTGAACAGTATGCCAGTTATATCATGGCATGTCAGCTTAATGTGGGAGGAAAGCCTGAAGTGATGCATGTCATATGTTTACCACTTTGATGAAACCGACATGCCGACAAACATAAGAACATAATTCGGGCCATCTGGGATTTGAACCCATGACCATAGGTTTCTGGCGGATCCAAGGGACACAACTCTGCACATCAAATTATGGAGCCTTAGACAACTGGGTCACCAATATCCCCATCATGTGAAATAACGAAAGACTATTGCACCTATAAGACGCACCTGTTCTGAGACATAGAAAGTCCGGCTGTTTGTCTTGGGGTGATGCCAGTAACATCGAAAAGTTTCTCCGATGATCGGGTTGTACGGTTTCTTTAATCCCTGATGATGAAAGATTTACACACGTATCAGACAACAATCCATATGGCCATGCTTCCAAGAAATCCTTTAGATTCATCATTTCACTGATTGGAAGTTTAAACATAATCAGTACAAATACTTTTTTGAATAAAAAAATAGATTCACATAATGACACAATGGTTACTATGTTTCCTATCAATCAAATTCAGCATGCACCACCAGAAGGGCATGCAAATTTGTAATTGGAGGATGTGTGAGTGAGTATGGTTTTACGCCGCTTTTAGCAATATTCCAGCAACATCACGGCAAGGGACACCAGAAATGGGCTTCACACATTGTACCTATGTCGGGAATCGAACCCAGGTCTATGGCGAGACGAGCAAAGGCTTTAACCACATGGCTCCCCAACGCCCTTAAAGGAGATGATGTCACATGTGACTGAATGTATCTGAAATTTCATTTACTTTGGGTTTCTTGTAGAACCCTGACAGGTACCATCGGGCAACGGACTTCAATCTGGTTAGAGGGTCTTCTTGCAGGACAGCTCTGGAAATCAGAGGAATAACGGTCAGTTTCAAATAAGATGAGGTGAGGTGAAATGGGGTTTAACGTCGCGTCCAAGATTATTGCACTTATATAGCGACGTGCATGTACGTGTGTGTGTGTGTGTGGCTGCTTGTAATAGTCCGGACTGAGGCCGATTTATAGTGCTAGCACACTGAGATACCATGCCGCAGTTTAACATGAATACCTCACTCAGACGCAGTATACTGACTCCGAGACGACCAGTCCTTGTTTTAGCCCCTTAATGCCGAGTGCCAGACTGGGTAACAACAAGTACCATCTTTTAACGTCTTATGGTATGACGCGGTTGGGGATCGAACCCCGTACCTTCCGCTCTCTGGGCGGACGCTCTACCACTAGACCACGGAAGCGGTCCACGTTCAAATAAGATGATACTTGGGCATGGCCTTCTCTGGCTAAAATGTGTTATACAGCCATCAAAACCACAAGGGGTGGGGTGTGGCAATGGTAGCTGACAACAAATTAACAGTTGCAGTGTCAAACACCAGGTTGACCCGGGTGCTTGTGGACATGAATAGTTACAATCCTTTCAGGGGAACCAAGCCTTTTAAAACATTACAAACTAGATTGCAAACTAATCAACAGTTTTCATAAATTTCACCTGAAACACTCGCAAAGCATGTTTGTATGACACAGCAACAGAGCTCCAGATAACTTTTTGAGCAATTGAGTTTTTACTCAAAGGTTTCTATTTTAATTGGGTTATAACATTTTTCTTTGGGGAACCAATATTTTTGTCACTATTCATCACTCTATTGGGTTTTTCCCAAAATGAATAAACATTTTGAGATTTAAAAAAATAAAAATAATGTTTTAGATGTAGATTCTATATGAGGGTTCTAACTATAGGCTTAACTTGGAAAGAAAACTAGCTCGTAATTGTGTTTTGGAAATTAGCTCCGTTGTACGCATGCTGAAAAAGCTTTATTGGGTATTTACTCATGCTGTTTTTATACATTTGAGTATTTCATTTAATGCATGCATTTCTGTTTGCAAAAATATTTTTTGGAGGTATCTTACGCAAATACGCAGCTTATCTGTAGCTCTGCTGCAATGACCATGACCTTTCTTGTTAAGGGCAGTTAATTTATATAGAGAGAGCAGTTTCCCTTTGACTACAAGCGAGTATAATTTATGAAATATAGCGTCTAATGGAGTGTAGCCTTGTCGATAAAGCATAGCTAGATGGCATGCTGTATGAAAATCATTTAGTAAAAAGAATGAATATTTCATTTCACACGATCATTTTGACATGTGGCCATACCGATTATAATGCACGAATTCCTTTCCTGGTAGAAATGTTTCCGTTTAGTTGGATGTGTGAAGGAAATCCTTGACATATAACAGTGCAACATACAAACATATTATACAGGATGTCTTGCAATTGCGACGTGGTTTTTGCAACACTCCCTGAGAGCAAAATCGTTAATTGGGAAAAGAATGCTGTTGGAATCAACCCACTGAGACGGCAAAGCAACCTTATATATCTGTTCAGGTTGTCGTAAAGATTATAATTCACGGGTACTACATTGTGTGGCATAAATTCCTTCGTTACTGTGCAGATAAAATAATAAAAGTTGTTTGCATTTAATTTCAAACCCATTCATTATTTTTGGTAATGCCTGACTACAGTTCCCCATTTCACCTTTATAGGCATGGTATACAGACAAATGGTTGAGGTTTGGCAATCTTTCTTATTTACACTGATACTCTTGCACTTGGGATCGCGGCTACTAATCTTAAACAATCTTATTATGATCAGAAGATTATGCCTGAAGATCTGAGGACACCTCCATCAGAGTGAGTGAGTTTGGATTAACACTGCTTTTAACAGTATTCCAGTTATATATCGGCGTGTCAGCATAATGTGGGAGGAAAGCCCGATGTGATGCAGGTCTCAGACGTTTACCACTTCGGTGAAACCCACGAGCACGGGTATGGTGCTAACAAACCTAGAAACAAAGTCGGGGCGAACGGGGATTCAAACCCACAATCATAGGTTTCTGGCATGCCCAAGGGACGCAACTCTGCACAGCAAATCGCAGCGCCTTAGACGACTGGGCCACCAATGCCCCCCACCTCTATCAGAGGTCTTGTCAGGAATATTATATAGTCAGGTAAATTTCATCATCAGGTAAATTTCATAATCAGCTAATCAGCATCAAGGCTAATAAATTCTGAGTATGATTGAGCCTTTAGACCCTCATATCTATTTTCTGTATATTGAAACTGAATTTTGATCGGCTTGTTCTGCACTATTCTATCATGGTGGATACTTATTCCCCCTGTTGATTCTGGGCAAAATGGCATCTACACCAAAAAGGTAGTACCCACGAAGGAATACTTGTGTTCTGTGTGTGGTTTCTTTTGTTAATTTTTGGAATCAAGGTGGTGAAATAATGAAGCCTAATCATTTCAGAAAACTGGGATCTGAATTGGCCCACAAACCGATGCTTCCTTTATTTGAATTGGGCGCTTACAGTTTCTCAGATCTTGGAGCTGAGAGGCACAGTAAAAGATCTGACTTTAGGACATTGCAGTTTTCAGTTCACTATCATATTACCTTCAAGGATGTGTTTGATGTAGTCTGTCAGTTTTTGACATGTGGCCATACCGATATAATGCACGTATTCCCTGTGCTGGTAGATATAATGCACGTATTCCCTGTGCTGGTAGATATGTTTCCGTTCAGGTCAATGTGAGATCCTACATAGTGACAGACAGTTAACAGGAGATAGATTACAGGGTATCACAAGGAAATCCTGACCACTAACAATGAAACAGGATATTTACATCGTCCTACTAATTCTGGTAGCTCAAGGGTTAAATAGGCATCAGTGATTTTCAACCTGCGAACTTTCTGCAAGATTTCTTCCGCTATTCTTTACTCCTATCATCCTAACTTTGTTTCCTATTGCAGGTTGTAGGTGTGTTTTCAAAACGAATGAAAAGATCGTCGCAAAGTGGGCTATCCAATATGTATGATGACAGATTGTTTCATTACCATATCAATATTCATGGATTTGTTTCAATACAGTATTGACATTAAAAATGTACTGATAAACTGATAGCCCATTTTTAGTGTTCTATATAAGATGTCAACTGGCCAATCAGAGAGCAAGAACACACAAATGCCATTTAGTAAGTGGTTGAATGTAACAAATGTTCTATTTGGGATAACCCCCCAAAAGTATGAGAATCTGAACTTTACTAAGAAAGTGTTATCCCAAATAGAACATTTGTTACAGAGAGCCACGCTCTGGCAGTGTGGGTTCCCATCCCGGATAGGACTCAACCCCCAAAATTGAGGTTGAGAAAGTGTTATCCCAAATATAACATGTGTTACATTTGACCACTTTCTAAATGGCATTGTGTGATCATAGCTTTCGGCCATGGAAGCCGTGCCAAATTACACTTGTCAGAGGGGTACACAAAGTACGTGATCTAGACTACCGGTTGTCGGACTTTTATTTTTGTGGAAGTCTCGGTGGCTGAGTGGGTTAGATCGCTGACTTTGTGTGCTGGCAACTAGGTGCTTCACTCTTTATTAAAGTTGGGGCACTAGCTGGGGTATTGAACTCACTCTGAGAGCAGGTCCGCATGGTAGTAGTAGTCAGAGAGTTTGTCCAGGAACGACCTTGGTTCTAAGATAAACGTTGGCAGCACAACCTTTGACAAATCCATACCTGGACGAACCTGAAGAATACAGATTAAATTTAGATTACTGATATGATTTACACATATATACAGATTGCCATAATTACATATATCCCCTTAGACCACAGGGCTCACAACAGGGATCCCCTTAGACCACCCGGTTCACAACTGAAATCCCCTTAGACCACAGGACTCACAACTGAAATCCCCTTAGACCACAGGACTCACTTCTGAGATCCCCTTAGACCACCGGGCTCACAACTGAAATCCCCTTAGACCACTGGACTCACTACTGAGATCCCCTTAGACCACTGGGCTCACAACTGAAATCCCCTTAGACCACAGGACTCACAACTGAAATCCCCTTAGACCACAGGACTCACTTCTGAGATCCCCTTAGACCACCGGGCTCACAACTGAAATCCCCTTAGACCACTGGACTCACAACTGAAATCCCCTTAGACCACTGGACTCACTACTGAGATCCCCTTAGACCACGGGCTCACAACAGGGATCCCCTTAGACCACCGGGCTCACAACAGGGATCCCCTTAGACCACTGGACTCACAACAGGGATCCCCTTAGACCACAGGACTCACTTCTGAGATCCCTTTAGACCACAGGACTCACTTCTGAGATCCCCTTAGACCACAGGACTCACAACTGAGATCCCCTTAGACCACTGGACTCACAACTGAGATCACCGTAGACCACTGGGCTCACTACTTAGATCCCTTAGACCACTGGGCTCACTACTTAGATCCCTTAGACCACTGGGCTCACTACTTACATCCCTTAGACCACTTGGCTCACTACTTAGATCCCTTAGACCACTGGGCTCACTACTTAGATCCCTTAGACCACTGGGCTCACTACTTAGATCCCTTAGACCACTGGGCTCACTGCTTAGATCCCTTAGACCACTGGGCTCACTACTTACATCCCTTAGACCACTGGGCTCACTACGTAGGCCCCCCACATCACTGGGCTCACTACGTAGGCCCCCCACATCACTGGGCTCACTACGTAGGCCCCCCACATCACTGGACTCACTACGTAGGCCCCCCACACCACTGGACTCACTACGTAGGCCCCCCACACCACTGGACTCACTACGTAGGCCCCCCACATCACTGGGCTCACTACGTAGGCCCCCCACACCACTGGGCTCACTACGTAGGCCCCCCACATCACTGGACTCACTACGTAGGCCCCCCACATCACTGGGCTCACTACGTAGACCCCCCACATCACTGGGCTCACTACGTAGACCCCCCACACCACTGGACTCACTACGTAGGCCCCCCACATCACTGGACTCACTACGTAGACCCCCCACACCACTGGGCTCACTACGTAGGCCCCCCTACACCACTGGGCTCACTACGTAGGCCCCCCACATCACTGGACTCACTACGTAGGCCCTCCCACACCACTGGGCTCACTACGTAGGCCCCCCCACACCACTGGGCTCACTACGTAGGCCCTCCCACACCACTGGGCTCACTACGTAGGCCCTCCCACACCACTGGGCTCACTACGTAGGCCCCCCCACACCACTGGGCTCACTACGTAGGCCCCCCACATCACTGGACTACCCGATGCCCCCGTGTATATTTCCACACAGACAGGGTTGTGCTGGTAGACAGTGGACTGTGAACGCTTCATCTGAGTACTGCAGCTCGTTACCTGTTTGACTAGAGTCCAGATTAGGCTTTTATTCTCATCATTCACTTCTTCTGTTTGGCACGTGTCTCCTTGCTGAAATCAAAACATTTGCTTTGACCATTATCTCCACATATCATTTCATTGGTTTTATTTTATCTGTCTGCTGTCAACAAGTGTATCATTATTACCAATTACAACAGATCATAACACCCGTGAAGTGACAGAGCTTATACCATGACACCTGCTCTATCCTGGATGTTCATCCTCTACAACTAGTTTCAATAGCATACTATATTACAGTAACTTTTAAACAGTCATACTAACAGTAAACTGTGATACTAACTGGGGCTGGGACGAGTCCAAATTTACAACTGGGTACCCACTACCCTATTACCCGACCCTACCCGGGTACCCACCGATTGGGAACATTTTTAGCATAGCTGTGGCAAAACGTATTTAGATACACGTAAAAAACAATCTGGTCATTCATACACTGAAGTTGAATTAAGGTATATCTTTATTCAACATATGAAAAATCAGAAGAAATGGGTGCATAGTCAGAAAGAAATGCGAACATTAGTGACTTTAGTGTAACCATAGAGTTCTAGAATTGTATGGTCATCAAACAATATATCACGTGACTAACCATGGGTCTGGGTAGTCCTGTGGGTACCCGGGTCCTACTCAGTACCCACCCGACCCGGGTACCCGAGTTACCCGTCCCAGCCCTAATACTAACAGTAAATAGTGATACAGGGTATTCAGTACTATTCACAATGATGTTACGATGTGCCCTTTGAAATATTTGTTGCCAAAAGATGAGACAAACAGTATCTCCAAACTTGGCGATTGTCATTTTAACATGGCAAGATAATAAGCAGCTGCAATTTTATAAATTTGCCCCTTCCTGTTTTTAAGATTGATACTATTTTCTATTTCTGAATGCCACACATAATCGAGTCTGGACCATACAATCCAGTGATTGACAATCATGAGCATAGATCTATGCAACTGGGATACGATGACATGTATCAACCAAGTCACCAAGCCTGACCACCCGATCCTGTTAGTCGCTTCCTATGACCTATCCTAGCCCAGATCTTTACGTATAGTTAATGTCGTGATTGACATTAAACATATCACATGTGCATTTCCCACATATCCAGTCTACTTGTGCTAAAGGCTTCATGTACATATTCACAAGGAATTCATGTACCTACATACGAACCCTTTAGCCCTTGGGATGCAGGGAATTTAAAACATTTATATACATTCTTCTTCCATTGAGGAGAAAATCATATTGGAGAAAGTAGAGATAGGTTACCTGTTAACCACTAGGCTACCCGACCGCCCCTATCTGTTGAGATAACAGCGCTACACTGAACTTGGAAATGAGGTGAGGTGAAATGGGGTTTAACGTCGCATCCAAGATTATTGCTCTTATATAGCGACGTGCATGCATATGCGTGTGCGTGTGTCCGACTGATACCGATAATGAGACACAGTATAATGACTCCGAGTCGACCAGTCCTTGTTTCAGCCCTTTAAAGTCGAGCGCCAGGCAGGGTAACAACAAGTACCATATTTTAATGTCTTTTGGTATGACGCAGCCGGGGATCGACCCCAGACATTCCGCTCTCCAGGACGGACACTCTATCACTGAACCACAGAGGCGGTCAATTTTGAAATGAACATACAGCAAAACCCACCCCTTCAGCCTCAGTAATGACAGGTGCTTTGTTGTACATCATCCAACTAGCAGATTTTTTCACTTGTGACTGATCATTACCTAAAAATTATACTTATACTGGTGTCTTCTCACAACAAATCAATACTGCAATATCTTCACAGGTTTTTTCAATACCACCAAAGTCATAACACTAAGAATTCAATACAGATTCCTGCAAATGCATTTCCCAGTTCTTGTAAGTTTTCTATAAAACATTCCATACCAGTCCAAGTTCCTCAGTAAAATTCTCCACATATTGACTCTCCAGTGGGCGAACATTTTCATCAAATGTCTTGTCATTCTCATAATCTGACTGGCTTGACTCCGAATCACAGTTGGCCTCCTCTCGATCAGTCTTACTGTCTTCGTCTAGACCTGCAGTTGAAATTAGAAATATGAGCTCTTGCACTCGTGGATACGGCACAGCCAAATGATACAAACAGTAATTTACTCAGGCTCTGTGTCAGTCATAATGTCTGAGTTGAACACAGATCATCACTTGAGCCATTTCATGTTTTTAGAGAATCCAGTTATAGTCCATAGCTCCTCAAATATGTTAGGATGGTTTTAAACGCTTTTAGCAATATCACGGCAGGGACACCAGAAATGGGCTTCACACATTGTACCCATGTGTGGAATCGAACTCAGGTCTTTGGCTTGACGAGTGAAAGCTTTAACCAATAGGCTACTCCAATGACACCCTTAAACATTTGCTAACACATACTATTACTAAACATTACAATGCACATATTTTCTAAATATGTAATGTGATAGAAGGAATAATATGTTCCATAAATTGGGATATGCTGGGCGTGCTGGACCTAAGGAAAAAACATGTTGCAAAAATCAATTTAATTGTTCAGCTGTTCTTTTCAGAGAGAAAAAAATGTACATTCTGAAGTTGTGGCCGAAACATAATACCTTGACCCTGTTCCACAAAGAGATCATAGCGTAAGGACGATCCTAACTCCAATTCTTCAACATTGACTTATGACAGTCGAAGCGCCACGATCATTTTATGAAACGGGGCCCTGGCCCCAATAGAATAAGCATTGTATAGTCAGTCCCAATACAAGTCTAAAATATGTCACTGACCTTGCCCTTCAAAGTGTTTTTCGCAGTCACTCTCATTGAGGTTATCGGTCTCGTTCTCAAATGTGGCCATCATGGTGTCATGATCTGCGTCTACGTCTACGTCTGCATCTGCCGCTTGCAATTCCCGGTCCTTCGTCATGGACCGCATCAACAGGCTGGTACATCGGAGAGCAAGCTCCAGGGCATCCATCCAGCACTTACCTGCAGATGAGTGGGTATGTGTGTTCATGTCAGCAGAATGTTTGTTTGTTTGTTTAACGCCACACTCAGCAATATTCCAGCTATATGACGGCGGTCTGTAATTAATCGAGTCTGGACCAGACAATCCAGTGATTAACATCATGAGCATCGTTCCACGCAATTGGGATACGATGACATGCATCAACCAAGTCAGAGAGCCTGACCACACAATCCCGCAAGTCGCCTCTTATGACAAGCATGGGTTACTGAAGACCACTTCTAACCCAGATCTTCATGGGTTTGATGCCATAAAAATGATAGCTGTCTCCATCACAGTTTAATATGGACTTGTACATGACTTTAGATCTCATACTCTGTAACATAAGATGCTGACTGATGTTTGTTTGTTTGTTTGTTGATTAACACTGCACTTAGCAATATTCCAGCTATATGACAGAGGTCTGTAAATAATAGAGTATGGACCAGACAATCCAGTGATGGATGGCATGAGCATCAATCCACACAATTGGGATACGACGACCTGCATCAACCAAGTCATTGAGTCTGACAACCTGATCCCGTTAGTCGCCTCTTACGACAAGCATAGTAGCCTTTTACAGCAAGCATGGGCAGATCCTGCTTTTGGCCCTAAGACCATTGGTTCCTGTTACACTTAAGGGAGGCAACTCCTGATGTGAGGGTACCACAATATCACACAGCCAGTCATCAGCTTGGAGAGAGTGAGTGAGACACCAACAACTCTGTTCTTCACCCATTGGGAAACAAATCCTGATCTGTGGTTTGTGAACATTTTACAACAAGCTAAGCTACGTCCCTCATCTCCACATTACGCGTTCTGCTGCAACAGCCAACATACAAACCTGCGGCCTCAGATGGCGCTCGGAATATCAGGTAGGAATAGGGAAGAGGCTGTACAAAGGCACCGATTGTCTCCCCTTTGGGACCCTGAAAAAATAGAGAGTAACCTTCAGTTTCATTGTGTTTAAACCATTATTATTATGTTACTGCTCTTGCAGTTGATTCGGAGCTATGAATTCACTGGCCATTCTGAATATGCATTTTAGCAAGTAAAACTGACACAACTATAGGTCATTATGCAAAATCATAGATAAATTATATATCCACCATAACAGGGTTTCAGTCAGAGAAATCACACAAATCTGTTGATTCCTAAAGGGTTATATAAATGTTTGCTTGATCAGCATGTTTTGCAAAATGTATTTGTGAAAAGTAAAATTCTGGCTTCCTAACATTTTGTACAATATGGATGAAAATCTAAAAACTAATTGATTGTGGCATTATAACAATGAAAAATGATTAATGATGCCATTATAAACTACAATTCTTGACAATGAAAATAAAACTGTTAAAAAAGGTTTTTGATGATCAGGAGTTGGAAGTTTACAGATTCAACATATATGGACTTCATCTTGTGTAGTGACACGGGGCGGTCGGGTAGACTAGTGGTTAAAGCGTTCGCTCGTCACGCCGAGGACCCAGGTTTGATTCCCGGGCGGACATGGGTACAATGTGTGAAGCCCATTTCTGGTGTACCCAGGTGTGATATTGCTGGAATGTTGCTAAAAGCGGCGTAAAACCAAACTCGCTCACTCACTCATTGTAGCGACAGGTGGCCCAGCCATCCTAGGCACACAATTTGATGTGCAGAGTTGTGTCCCTTTGGCACACAAGACACCAATGATTGTGAGTTCCAATCCCGTTTTGCCCTGACTGAACTTGTATGATAAAGGTTTAAACATGAAGCATGAATGTTTGGAAAGGCTACAGTTTGTATATGGTCCATTTCATCAAATAAATAGAGAAGAAAATATATGAGTTCCTTTGCCTTAAGGTACTTGGGGACAACAAAAAATGTGAAGCAGGTTTTTAGGTTGTCTGATGGGCAGGGGTGAAATTCTAAAAAGTGATTAATTATTGCTGAATTGTATATGAATCATGAGCAAATAATACAACTTAAAAGACAAATGAACACCATCTCCTTCACACCAACACTTGACCAGTGTTAGATATCTTGACCAGTCTGCCCATTGAAGGTTTCTCTGTGTTATTTCTTTGTTACAGTCGAACACCATTGTGTCGAAATTGAAGGGACCTCAGAGATAGAAGCACACAATTTTAGTCCACTAGTCCTTACAAAGATAACATACATCAAAATCCTTAAAAATATCAGATTTCTACTAGTCCTTATGATACCTTAACCATTTGGAAGTTTGGCAAGGACTACAGGACTAGTGCCGATTTCTAATGCTGTGACCAACCATACTTTGATCTATCAGGTTTTGAAAAGGATGAATAATGAGGGAATATGCGAGGTCCAAGCTTTTACGACGTGACAACCGTACATTCGACACATCAAAGTTCGACACAACAGTGTTTGAATGAAGGTAACACAGCACAATCCAGAGACTGTAAACATGAGCATCGATCTTTGCAGTTGAGACACAATGACATGCACCAAGTCAGCGAACCTGACCACCCGATCCCGTTTGTCGCCTCTTACAAATCCCAATCAGGACAGGACAATTAAGTGACCGACGTCATGAGCATCGACCTACACATTTGGTATATGGTCATATTAAATCAACATCACCGAGCGTGACCAGCTGATCCATTCAGTCGCCTCTAACCACAAGGTGATGTTTCTGGGGACCTATAGTCACACCCCTTGGGTTGTGGGGACCTATATTCACACCCCTTGGGTTCTGGGGACCTATAGTCACACCCCTTGGGTTCTGGGGACCTATAGTCACACCCCTTGGGTTCTGGGGACCTATAGTCACACCCCATGGGTTCTGGGGACCTATAGTCACACCCCATGGGTTCTGGGGACCTATAGTCACACCCCTTGGGTTCTGGGGACCTATAGTCACAGCCCATGGGTTCTGGGGACCTATAGTCACAGCCCATGGGTTCTGGGGACCTATAGTCACACCCCATGGGTTCTGGGGACCTATAGTCACACCCCTTGGGTTCTGGGGACCTATATGCACACCCCTTGGGTTCTGGGGACCTATAGTCACACCCCTTGGGTTCTGGGGACCTATAGTCACACCCCTTGGGTTCTGGGGACCTATAGTCACACCCCTTGGGTTCTGGGGACCTATAGTCACACCCCTTGGGTTCTGGGGACCTATAGTCACACCCCTCGGGTTCTGGGGACCTATAGTCACACCCCTTGGGTTCTGGGGACCTATATGCACACCCCATTGGGTTCTGGGGACCTATATGCACACCCATTGGGTTCTGGGGACCTATAGTCACACCCCATGGGTTCTGGGGACCTATAGTCACACCCCTTGGGTTCTGGGGACCTATAGTCACACCCCATGGGTTCTGGGGACCTATAGTCACACCCCTTGGGTTCTTGGGACCTATAGTCACACCCCATGGGTTCTGGGGACCTATAGTCACACCCCTTGGGTTCTGGGGACCTATAGTCACACCCCTTGGGTTCTGGGGACCTATAGTCACACCCCTTGGGTTCTGGGGACCTATAGTCACACCCCTTGGGTTCTGGGGACCTATAGTCACAGCCCATGGGTTCACAAGGAACCAAGCCCGACCACCTGATCCATTCATTAGCCTCTAACCACAAGGTGATGTTTCTGGGGACCTATAGTCACACCCCTTGGGTTCTGGGGACCTATAGTCACACCCCTTGGGTTCTGGGGACCTATAGTCACACCCCATGGGTTCTGGGGACCTATAGTCACACCCCATGGGTTCTGGGGACCTATAGTCACAGCCCATGGGTTCTGGGGACCTATAGTCACACCCCTCGGGTTCTGGGGACCTATAGTCACACCCCTTGGGTTCTGGGGACCTATAGTCACACCCCTTGGGTTCTGGGGACCTATAGTCACACCCCTTGGGTTCTGGGGACCTATAGTCACACCCCTTGGGTTCTGGGGACCTATAGTCACACCCCTTGGGTTCTGGGGACCTATAGTCACACCCCTTGGGTTCTGGGGTCCATGGATTCACAAGGAACCAAGCCCGACCACCTGATCCATTCATTAGCCTCTAACCACAAGGTGATGTTTCTGGGGACCTATAGTCACACCCCTTGGGTTCTGGGGACCATGGGTTCACAAGGAGTCAGCCAAGTCACACAGCCATGTGGAATGTAAACACCAGTCTGTGTAACATAAACCTCCCTATCTATATACAGCTCAATCTAGCCGGATCAATAATGCATTGTTTTACAAGTCTACTGCTAACTCTAACACACTGTCTGGACAGTATGGCCATCATTCATAAAACTTTGATCAGCCTGCATCCAGGCCTTCGGATCAAAGAACTGTTGAGAGGTCTGGCTTCCTCGCGATGTAAGAAGGATTCTGGGCTTGAGGAGTTTTGCTATTGAATGAAAAACAGGGTGTGATATAGACAACTCAAAAGAAGAATGAACACCCAAATTTTGAAAAGCAACCTTTCATTGTGTACAAAGGTTTAAGAACACCTGATTATTGGCATGACAGAATAGTAAACTACGGTTATAACAAACTCAAAGGGACCACTAATTTAGTGAGTGAGTGAGTTGGATTTAATGCCCCTTTTAACAGTATTCCAGTTATATCACGGCGTGTCAGTTTAATGTGGGAGGAAAGCCCGAAGTGATACAGGTCTCAGATGTTTACCACTTTGGTGAAACCCACGAGCACGGGTATGGTGCTGACAAACCTAGAAACATAATCGGGGCGAACCGGGATTCGAACCCACAACCATAGGTTTCTGGCGTGCCCACGGGACGCAACTCTAGACGACTGGGTGCCCCCGACCACTAATTTAAGTTAACATAACAAAGGGATGAGTAATATTGAGTGGTAAAGAAAGCTTAGAGGTACTGAGTGTGTTCAAAGATAGCTAAATCGAGCCTGATTGGTTGGTTGGATCGATACAACTTCCACGATCATCATAAGATATGAACTATACTACTCAATAGAAATTAAGGACCACCTGATTCTTTCATATTACTATTACTATCTGTCATGCCATGTCAGATTAACTATAGTAGTATGAACTTTAGTAATATGTAAGAATTAGGGTCCTTAACGTGCCGGTAGTAGCAGACAATAGGGCTGGACTGGGTAACTCGGGTACTCGGATGGGTGGGTATTGAGTAGGACCCGGGTACCCACAGGACTACCCAGACCTGTGGTTAGTCACGTGATTATATTGTTTAATGGCACAAATTATTTAGAACTCTATGGTTACACTATAAATGACAAATGTTCACATTTCTTTCTGACTATGCACACATTCCTTCTGACTTTATATGTTTGCATAATGATAAAACTTCAGTCAACTTCAGTGAGTGCATGATTGTTTTATACATGTATCTAAACACATTTTGACAGGAGTACGGTCAAACGTTTCCAAATCGGTCATTTTGTACCAGTAAAAAGCAGTAAAAGCTGCATCTAAATTAACAAGATATTGGAATATATTATTTCTGGTAAAAAAATAGTTTCAGATATAATTTTTGCCGATCCTTGCATTAAAATCCTGTAAAGTTATATCATTGGGTGTGTCTTGACCGAATCACCTGTAGATTCCAAGAAAACGTGTGTACAGCTGATTGCTGTGTCCGGCTTAGTTTACGAGAAAATACACAAGGTAATCTTAATCCCTGGATATAAAACAATGCCTAGCTGAACAAAAAATACAATTTAAACGGTAAATCAACATGTCTGGTGATTTTTAATCTCAAATTTCGAATTTGTACTGACTAAGTTTCTCATCACCCGTTCGTTTGCCGGACTTCGCAATAGGGGTACGGTGTAATTTTTTTTCTGTGCTTGGATTCCCAAAAAAGGTTTTTCCAAAATGTTGAATCCGCTAGGGGGGGGTGCGCGTTATACATGGGTGCGCACTATACTCAAGAAAATACGGTACCTATCTCTTGAGACCTACAGGCGGTACCTGGATAGGGGGTTGGTTCCCTTGGTAGTCAATTTGGACTTGTCCTAGCCCTAGCAGACAACACACAAATGAATGCTGTTCGACAAATACTGTCCAAAAGCAGTAACACAGGAGTCTGCATCAACATAGACAACAACGCCTCCAGCTGGACTGTTTATGGCAACACTGACATTTAGATGCCCTGATGAAAAGTGTCTACCACTAGGTCAGCTAGACATGCATACACACTGTTTCTATTTCACAAGCTTTGAGTGCATCAGGCCTATTGTCTGTCTGCCCTAACCATCGCGTTGCTATTGTCATCTAGACTTGCCCCAGGTGTACATATTATGTTCATAAGCATTCTTCAGAACATTGTCTTTGCTGACAAAATACACTTTGTTATACAGATTGTATTGATCAGTGCAATAAATTCCATATTCGATTTTGTTACAGTTTATTCGGCAGAGTCTTAATAGCAACATATATGTATATTTAAAGTGTCACATTTGATCTACACTTTAAACATATGTCAGTTTTGGTTTGTTAATATGCATGATATTCCTGATTTGAAACCAATGAGAATGCATGTTATGACCAATATGAATGAATAATGTTTGTCCCAAAAAAATAGCTTTGCTCTTAAAATAAGTGAGTGAGCTTTTCACAACAATCCAGCAATATCAAGGTGGGGGACATTAGAAATGGGCTTCACACATTGTACCCATGTGGGGAATCGAACCCGGGTCTTCAGCGTGACAAGGGAACACTTTAACCACTAGGCTACCCGACCGCCCCTTGCTCTTAAAGATTAACTCATGACTGTATTTTTTTGGCCTAATCCCTGGACAGTTGCCTGGTATGTAACAATTTGTCACTGGTCATTCCACAACAAACATGAAACAAAATGTCTAGTCTTTGTGTAAGGATAGACTTTGAAGGGGGTTTTAAGGAACTGTTTATTGAAACATTTAGTTGGTAGGTTGAAACAGAATACAAAACGTACAATGCATACGATCCTGCTGTCAGACTGTTAAGGGGTGGAATATACCTTTGTGGCCCATATAGACTGGTCCAGGGTGTGGAACATACCTTTGTGGCCCATATAGACTGGTCCAGGGGGTGGAACATACCCTTCTGGCCCATATAGACTGGTCCAGGGTGTGGAACATACCTTTGTGGCCCATATAGACTGGTCCAGGGTGTGGAACATACCTTTGTGGCCCATATAGACTGGTCCAGGGTGTGGAACATACCTTTGTGGCCCATATAGACTGGTCCAGGGTGTGGAACATACCTTTGTGGCCCATATAGACTGGTCCGGGGTGTAGACGTACCTTTGTGGCCCATATAGACTGGTCCAGGGGTGGAACATACCCTTCTGGCCCATATAGACTGGTCCAGGGTGTGGAACATACCTTTGTGGCCCATATAGACTGGTCCAGGGGTGGAACATACCTTTGTGGCCCATATAGACTGGTCCAGGGGGTGGAACATACCTTTGTGGCCCATATAGACTGGTCCAGGGTGTGGAACATACCTTTGTGGCCCATATAGACTGGTCCAGGGGTGGAACATACCTTTGTGGCCCATATAGACTGGTCCAGGGGGTGGAACAGTTTGAAACAGAAACCATCCTTCTTTGAGGGCCGCTCGATGTGTCGACATGTGTTGAGGAGGACTGTGCCAACCCAGTGACTACTCTGTGGGAGGGAACAATGTTGCAGGGTTAGAGACTAACAGTTTTTGTCCACTAGTCCTTATAATGATAACATATAGCAAAACCCTTAAAATGGGCCAATTCCTACTAGTCCTTAGGATACCTTTACTATTGGGCAGTTTGGTAAGGACTACAGGACAAGTGCCAATTTCTAACGCTGTGTTGTCAGAGTTACTACTACCCCAGGTAGCATGCCATCATCGGCCCTGCATCGGCCCAACGTCGGCTACACCATCGGCCCAACGTCGGCAAACTGCATCGGGCCGATGAAGTTTTGCTCATCGGATCGACATCGGCCCAACGTCGGCAAACGTCATCGGCCCTGCATCGGCACTGCACCGGCCCAGCATCGGCAAACATCGTCGGGCCGATGAAGTTTTGCTCATCGGATCGACATCGGCCCAACGTTGGCAAACATAATCGGCCCTGCATCGGCAATGCACCGGCCCAGCATTGGCCCAACGTGGGCAAACAATGTCGGGCCGATGAAGTTTTGCTCATCGGATCGACATCGGCCCAACGTCGTAAATAGTTATCTGGCCAGCCTCCGGCAACTGTTATGGAATCAGCATCGGATGGACATCGGCCCAACGTCGACAATAATTATCAGCGCAGCATCTGCCATCTGCCATTGTCTTAAATAGGCTGATGCCATCAGAAGTCATAACTGACAACATCTCATCTTAATATTTCATGTAAATGATGCCACAATAGAACTTTTCCAAGTGTAGTGTTAGGGTACATAAAACTAAACATTTCTAAAAGCTGCAGCTAGCCATGATGTTAAAGTTACAAAGATAAAAGGTAAAACTAAAAAATACTAAAAATTTTAAAAAGATAATAATTTTTTATCATAGTTAATACTTTGAAAACCAAATGTAATAATATAAATACTTCTAGCTGTACAATACAATCGAAATGCTTACACTAGTTACAGTACTATTTTTATGTACCCTAATACATGTGTAGTTAATACTTATAAAAAACACAAACAGCAAAATAGAATAATAAACTTTATTATTAATTAATTATTATTTACAAGAAAACAGTGTTACTACCTGCAACAAGGCGGATGTGAAACATATATTCTCAAAACCTGTTTTAAAACACAGTCTAAACATATACCCCTCCTATTGGCCTGCAAAATTTCATTTATGTGGTTTCAAATTCGTTTGCAAGACAAACTCCCCCCCCCCCCCCCCTAAAATAGCATGAAGCAAAGGCCATAACTCCATACAAAATTAGTTCTTATAAGTTATAACCATCTTCTGGAGTTTGTACCTTAGGTAAGCACGGAAAGTTTCATTTATTAACTTCAGTAGTGTCCAAGAGAACCTGGCAGAATATGTACCAAGTTCAAAAACAAGGGTCATAACCCTGTGAAAAATATGTTGTCAACACCAACATTTTGGATTTCTTTGTTCCGTTGCAATTCAGCACTTTCGTTTGCAGATTCTCTATCTACATCTCTGTTTTTCAGAACGCGTTTTCCTTATGCCATTTCTAAGCCTTGCTCCTGGAACTCGAAGCCATTCTTTTACACAGGTCACCATGTACTTGTCAGTGGCTTGTAAGAGCCCAGCTGCAGGCTTCCTCCTCAGCTTCTGTTTACAAATGATAGCAAAAAATGTCAGTGTGCATATTATAAGTCATTGCATGCACTCTCACAATTACAAGAAATGGACTTCACAAGTGTGTTAACATAATGGAATAATAGAATAAGTAATACCCTGTTCACATGCACCACCTTACATATGTGTGTATATTTTATTTTAAGTCTTGACACCTGTTAATAAATACAGGGTTCACTCAAGGAATTTTCTGCCATGGGCCCTTTATGTGACAATTTCATATATTCCCTAGGTACACCCGCACTTGCCCATACAGCACAATGTTAAAATGCCCCATTGTATTTGAAAATGTGGGCCTTTTTCCAAATTTAGGGGCTAAAAGCAGAAGGCCCCACCCTAGAATTATCGGAATCCAAGTAAGTAAATTGATGAGTTAATAATATGTGTAAATAAGTAAATTGAATTATGTGTAATTATATACGCAAATAACATAACAACTCCCAATATTGTATGGTAGGTCCCTAATCTGTTTCTTATGTCAATTAAAAAAGATTTTATAACTGACATATCACCCTATTAATTTAGCCCAATAAAAATCCCCAATAACCACATAACACCCCTCCTCCAATCTTGCTGGAGAACAGTTTTAGGTGTGCAATCTCTCTTGTATGTCCATCAAAAGTAAGTCAGCATGAAATTTCATTTGGAAGATTACCAAAGTGTCAAGGGCCCTTAATAGGGCAAACATGATATTAAATATATGCTTATAAATATTTCGAGCAGAAACATGTATCAGTTGGTTTGGTTTGTTGTTTAACGCCTCACTCAGCAATATTCCAGCTATATGACGGCGGTCTGTAAATGATCGAGTCTGGACAAGACAATCAAGTGATTAACATCATGAGCATCAATCCATGAAATTGGGATCGATGACATGCATCAACCAAGTCAGAGAGCCTCACCTCCCGTTCCCATTAGTCGCCTCATACGACATGCATAATTGCCTTTTACGGCAAACATGGGTTGCTGAAGATATCTTCTACCCCGGATCTTCTATATGAATCAAAATTGGAGTAAACTTCCCATACTTGATACATCTAAAGAAATTTAATTCACTCACCAGTTCTTTCTCAGTTGCTCGATTTTGGAAAAGCTGCTAAGAGTTCATTCAGCTCATCCATGTTTGCCAATAGGCAATGGCTAAACATCTGATTTTCTTAAATAGAAATATAAGAATATTATATGTCAAGTTTGTGTAGCAGCAGTGAGCACGTAGCTATTATGGTGATGATGTCAAGAGGTTGAGGGGAATATTGCTCAAAACATAAAAGTAACATTTAAATAAAGCTTTGGCCATACACAGATATCAGGTCCTTTCCTTAAGTCATACATCTTATCTCATATATTTGCACTTGTACATACAGTCCTTGTCTGGAGCCATGTAGCAGAAATAATTTCCCAGGGAAAGTAGTTTCACGTTAATAGCCATAGCCACATCCATTGAAAAGCAGTGAGAAAATCCCCATATTGACATAATGTTGAACAGATCCTGTGAAGTCTGGTTACCACAAAACAGATTTCATTTATTATATGATGCCAAAATATATGTAGATTACATCATGGTTAACCAAAACTGCAAATAAACGTTTATCATTAAAAGATCAGATACAAAGGTATGTACATATTACAAACACTTGTATGCAAAAAATAGCAGGAAAGTATTGGGGACAAGTAATTTTAATTTTTAATTTAATTTAATTTAATTTTTTTATTCAGAATAAATCAAATTTGAAACAAGGCTGTGGGTGTTTTTCTACAATGGATAATGTCCTGAAAAATCTGTACTGAAGTATCTTCATCACAGTTTTACCATAAATTTGAATTTTGATTAAATAAATGACATTCTAAATTGTCTTGGATTATATATTTAGCATCATACCTTTGAAATAGTACATTTAAAAAATTTTAATTCAGTATTTCATCAAAAATGTACATCATAAATTACTTAACTAGATAAGACTACCATACCCCCCCCAAAAAAAACAAAACACAAACATCCCCTAAAAATCCATTCTGAAATAGCCATATCTCAAAACCTCAATCGATCGATACAGATACCATACATCGGTATAAGATTTCTGATCGATTATAGGCATATGTCTATGTAAGGTATCCAGCAGATCTTGATAAAATTGCCCACACCTGTAATGCGCAGTGATCCGTTTACTAAAAGAGCTGTCCTTTCATTTCGCCCATTATCCAGAAAAAGTTCAAAATTCGCAAGTAACTATGACATTTAAAAACATATTTTTATTTTTTTTATTTCAACCTTTTGGTGATCGAAAACCAAACTCGGCAGTGAAGCTCCGTTCATCGATATGTAGGAAACATTAGCTGGATCGCATGACATGCACCCGCAATGCTGAAAGTTTCCGAAAGCCTCGTTATGAATTTCATGTTCACTGCTTTTTCCGCTGACAGCAATCACAAAATTGACTTGTAAATTCGAGTTTGTAATTAATTTCCTAACCTCATCCATCCCCACACTTAACAAATACGCCTGTGACAATGACAAATAAAGCAATGTTCATTCAAAAATACTAATGTAAGTAAAAGTTTGGCTATTCATTTGCTTGCCGCTGTAATACTCTCACCCCGAGATTGCGACTCGTTGGTTGAACATCGCTGAATCTACATGGACATAAAACATATCTTGTCATGTTTTGTATTTGCCCTTGTCCCCGCGTTTTGCTAGAAATATGTATATGGTGTTTAAAAATTACAAATAGAGAATCTGGTGAGGATGCAGTGTCACGACATATTCCACGGATTTTGACACTGACGTAGAATTGACAGGAGTGTGTTTCTCGAACCTCCAAAACACATAGGCCTAGATTTCTCCCTTCACGTTGACACTTATAAATGTACACTGTTTCTCGTTTCAATTGTAAGGTTTGAAAATGAAATAAACACCTCGTAAATACAGTAATGAAGTAAACACTTACCGCAAAATAGGTTTTCCCTCAGCCCTCCACGCATCATCCTTTCGTCGTCTGCTTGAAAAGACGCGCGTGAGTAACAGCGCCCTCTATAACAAGAGTAGCTTCCCTTGGAAACATGTTGTGAAAACGTTGGATCAACGTAACATAACCGCTCGCGATATTCCAAACTTTTGCCAATATCATGTAATTTGCTGAATGAATTGTAAGATGTGACGAATCCCGTCTGTATCTTCTCTGTCTGTTGTATATGTGCAGCCAAAATGGTCAGTGAATGTGCTTGATCTATTTAATTTAAAATTTAAAAATAAAGTTAATATTTTGAGTTCGAATAGAATTATTGTATTATTCGTAAATATACTTGATCTATTATTTGTCACATTGTAATCGACAAATGTGTTTTTTTCTTTTATGTTATCATAACAAGATCAAATCATATATCAGGTTCAATGTCAGTGCCAATCACCAGCATTGGCCTGACAGCGGACCGCTGCAGTTTGCCGATGCCGATATTGCCGGCGGTTGCCGATGCAAAGCCAACGTCGGCCCGACGTAGGTGTGCTAGCTGGGACAACTGCAGCTACTACATCCACTACATCCACTGTATACAAAGTCCCTCCTTGCATTGTCCTTAAATGGACTTTTGAGGCAATGTCTGGGGACGAAACTTTACTGTGTCCTCATGAGTTTCAAGCTGAACACTGACTTCACGACTTTTGGTAATTGTTTGTTTGTTTGTCTGTGTTTGTGCCTGTTTGTTGCTTATCACAGCAATATTTAATCTATATGATCCATCTAAATAATCGAGTCATGAGTCATATCATGAGCATCAATCTACGCTGGGATACAATGATATGCATCAACCACGCCGACTAGTGCTTGTTTTAACCCCTTAATGCTGAATGCCAGACAGGGTAACAACAAGTACCATCTTTTGGTATGACGGGGCCGGGGATTGAACCCCAGACCTTCTGCACTCCGGGCGGACGCTCTTAGTAACCACTAGGCCACGGGGTTCTGGAATGGCACATGGTAGAGTATATATGGTTGTATACTATCACACCACGTGTGTTACACACAATTCACCTTTTGCTTCTCATTCTTGTACAACACCAGGTAGCCAGGCTTGAGGACACACCACAACTTGGTCCAGCTTTTTAACGATCCGCGAACCTTCAGCCAATCAGCAAGAACTATCACTGAGCGGTCTTTGAGCGTGCTCAGTAACTCCTTAGCAGCTGCCTTTTTCTGGCTCCGATAATTTTTCTTTTGTACCTGTATTAAATTAATTGAAATAGGTATACAATATTCATAAACCTCTGGTAAAGTACATCCTACTGTTTTTTTATGATTTGGGCCAAAACAATGCCTATCAAAAACCCATATTCATATTTCAAGATTTTATTCACTTTGTCACTTACAAATGTTTGTTTGTTGTTTAAAGCCAAACTCAGCAATATTCCAGCTATATGATGGTGGTCTGTAATAAACAAGTCTGGACCAAACAATCCAGTGATTGACATCATGAGCCTCGATCTATGCAATTGGGATACGATGACACGCATCAAATAAGTCAGCAATCCTGACCTCCCGATCCCGTCGCCTGTTACAACAAGCATAGTCACCTTTTACGGAAGGCATGTGTTGCTGAAGATCACTCACAGATTGAACTGTTGATAAGATTTTTGGATTTAACCATAAACAGCACTTTAGTAATATCACAGCATGTCAGCTTTATTTAAAGGGAAAGTTCAAAGACCATAAACGTAAGAAACTGGCAGCCCTGTAACTCTTGATGGTAAGACAGCAGGGATGATGATCAGATCAAACTTCGGAATCAAACACAGCCTGTGGATTCTCGAGTGAGTGAGTGAGTACGGCTTTACGCCGCTTTTAGCAATATTCCAGCATTATCACGGCGGGGGACACCAGAAATGGGCTTCACACATTGTACCCATGTCGGGAATCGAACCCGGGTTTTCAGCGTGACGAGCGAACGCTTTAACCACTAGGCTACCCGACCGCCCTGTGGATTCTGGAATGGCTGGGGGCTGATTCACAGTAATGGAATTTTTCTTCTATCACAAACCATGAGGTGACGTGTTGGGTTTAACGTCGCGTCCAAGATTGTTGCACTTACATAGCGACGTGCATGCACGTGCGTGTGTGCGTGTGTGTGTGTGTGTGTGGCTGTTTGAAATAGTCCAGAGTGTTGGTGATTTATAGACTGCTAACTCACTGAGATACCATACCAGTTTAACACGAATACCCCACTCAGACACAGTATACTGACTCCGAGCCGACCAGTCCTTGTTTTAGCCCCTTAATGCTGAGCGCCAGACAAGGTAACAACAAGTACCATCCTTTAACATCTTTTGCTATGACGCGGCCGGGCGGATGCTCTACCACTTGACCGTGGAGGCGGTCCACAAACCACGAGAAAATAGATTATGTATGCTGTTGGAATAATAGAAACAAAAAACGTGGTCTTATGATCTTACACAAATGCCCATTATTTTGATCTTTTTTGTTTTAGTCTTGACAAAGTCTCACTGTATATCTTGTAACTGACCTTGAGCGATTCTCTCTTTGACATCTTGGTGGCCGTAGATGAAGGTGTAGATGTTGTTGGTGGTGCCGTCTTGTCCGTGATGGGGGTGAACAGCCGACTCTCAGACTGCAATATAAGTTGCTACATAGAGTGAGTGAGTATGGCTATACTCCGCGTTTAGCAACATTCCAGCAATATCACAGCAGGTGACATCAGAGATGGGCTTCACACATTGTACCCACATGGGGAATTGAACCCGGGTCATCGGCAAGATGAGCGAACCTTTTGACCACTCAAGTAGACTCGACCGCCCCTGCTATGTATAAATCTCACTTAACTGTCTTTTAATGTCAAATATATCAACTCAGAGGCTTGTAAGCTTAATGTAGGATTTGAAATGATGAAAGCAGATCCTGGCATAGCCAGGGGAAGCAACTTGTGGCTGTGAATGATAATCTGTTTATCCCTTTATGTAAATAATATAATAAGCAAAGTGGTAATTGAGCAGATTATGAGGGAGTGGCAGTCATTAGGTGAACTATGGTATTACCACCCTGAGTGAGTTGTGTTTTACACCACTTTGAACAGTATTCCAGTTATATCACGGCGTGTTTGCTTAATGTGGGGGGAAAGCTTGAAGTAATGCAGGTCTCAGACGTTTACCACTTTGCTGAAACCCACTGACAAACCTAGAAACATAATCAGGGCAAACCAGGATTGGAACCCCTGACCAGGAAAGGTTTCTGACGTGCCCAAGGGATGCAACTCTGTTTGGCAAATTGTAACACCTTAAGTTGACTGGGCCACCTGTGCCCCTACTATCCCCATGACCCTTTTATTGTAATAATGCGTTGTACTGCAGCCCCAGGATAGAGAGTGTAACATTACAGTGTTCCTGCTGGTTCTTGAATCTGCTAGAACTCTAAAAATTACAAGTTCCCCCTAATATTTGTCAGTCCCAACTTTCAACAAATAAAAAAAAACATGAAAAATTACCCGATTAGAATTCTTTCAACATCATGTTCAATGCAATGATGTAATCTCTGAAATAACTTAGTTAGATCTACACATCATTTACACAAGTTCAGTCACAATTTCTTCTTCTTCTTTTTTAATATTTCAAGATGAAGTCACTACAATTATATTTTTAACCTTGAAGCAAAGCAAAATGTTATATCCTTGCACCCAAATTCGACAAGGGGAAACCCTGATGGTACAGACAAGCTGACTTATTTCGGCAGTCACATGAATTACCGGTCCAAGCCTAATTTTACCGGTAAACCGGAACACTGCATTACCTCCATAGTAGAGGAACTGTGCAGGAAACCAAACTCAAACTATTTGCATGGAAAACAGACACAGAAACCATTGTGCTACCCTGCGAATCGGTCAATCTCATTAAGTCAGATCTCTTACGCCGATACACCCCCCTGTGTAAACGTTTAAGGACGTGATCTTTTCAGAAGGTCGTGTCAGGCGAATCCTGACCGATCTTCATCAAATGAAGGATGTGTGAGTTCTGGAGCCAATCAGATGTCAGCTTAAACAACTCAGTTTCACTTGTCTCAAGTGTTAAGATATGATTCATGGGAACGTGGTACATGTAAGTGTTGAATTTCATATATTGTGTTAAATAGGGTGAAACGATACAGCAAGGTCACGATACGATATGTACCACGATACATAGGTCGTGATGATATAAATTGCTATACTCATCTTTACAACAAACCATGGCGAAAATGATTGACTGTAAAGATTTCAGAGCAAGTTCAAAAGGACAAGCTAGCTGTAGACACATGTTCGTAGAGGCTTTTTTTAGTGGTAACTTGAAACGCTAATTTACAACCCATTTTGCAATATTTGACTGACAAAAACACTGAGGGCTCATTAAATGAGTTGTCATTTATTTTAGCAAGTGATTTGTCTTGTATTGATACAGAGAATAACATCTTGTGTAACATATCGTCGCATGAAAACTTGTCTCACGTATTGTTTCACCCCTAGTGTAATGGCTGGGGGGGGGGGGGGGGGGGGGGGGGGGTTGTGGGCAGTATTCTGAGGGAAGGATTAGGATGCTAGGAAGATGAGGTTTATATATGACGATGGGTCAGCCATATACTGTGTGAAGGCACTGGGGGTTCAAAGCAGTTGCATCACAACAAAGCAGTGCCGTGTGTCATCATCAGCATATATTAGTTATATCATGATAGCTTGAAAAGTATCAAGTCAGGACCTAGCAAACTGCTTTCAATTAAAAGTCTGAAAATTGAATCGCATCATTAGTTCTATAACAGTTAAACACTTGCAGGACAAGTATCTGAGATTATTTTCTGGTCTTCACTCATCATACCATCCATCTTTGTTGCCAGGACAACAAGCATGAGGACCAAGCTATTTTTAGATGCTGATCAAAGAAGACTTGATGGATTGTACCTATATATGTGGGGAATAGAGTATGGGTTTGTGCATAATCAGCGAGCACACTTACCATTGGGCTACCCACACTTCCCCGCTGGAAACAAGAATATAGAGTTCAAAGGTTTGGGTAAGGGTGGAGCAACATGTGGTTCATGTTGACGCTAACAATTCTGGGGGGACACAGGCGATGGTGAAACCATCAAGAGCACTAGCTTAGTGTTCTGGGGGGACACAGGCGATGGTGAAACCATCAAGAGCACTAGCTTAGTGCTGACAAACCAAGAAACATAATCAGAGGATAATCTTGGATTCGAACCCACATTTATTTATGTCAGTGTCTAGCCAATCTTATTAAAATCAGATCCAAGTTCTTGCTGCCGCCTAACAAAGATCTGAGGACATCCAATAATGGGTCACATCAGAACGACCTTTCGCAAACTTTGACCGAGCACTGAAATGACTAATAGAAGTCAACATCAGCCAATTAGAAAGCAGTTTTCTAAAGCTTTACGGCACTCATTTCAACCTGGCGATTTACATTTCAGACTACACTTGAAAAATATGTTGACACAGTCCTCGATTAAATTTTTTAAAACTGAACAAACGAACATTCCAGAATGTCTAATATATGGTGGTGATTGTATGGCAGTGCTTCCTACATATTGTGCAACGCCTCCTCCATTCAAATGTTTATCCAATGAAAGCGAGAGATAGACGATAATTTTGGCGGAATCAGTCGTACGGGCCATAACTGTCGTTTCGAGGTTGCATGATTAGAAAACACATTCCGGCCATCACTTTCATGATCTGGTAAGCGACACTTTCATTGTTTGGATGAAATGTCGTTCTGACGTGACCCATAATGGGATGTCCTCAGAGCTTTGTTTAGCGATAGCGAGAACTAAGATCTGATTGTAATGTGATTGGTGTCTAGCATGCCTAAGGGAGGCAACTCTGCACAGCAACTTGTGACGCCCTAGAGGGGTGGTTCATCCAAACCATCCACTAGCCACAAACCCGAACTCGAGTGTGACAAGTGAGCACCCTAACCACAAAGCTAATGGTTTGATAGGAAATGCTCATACATTTCCAGGATTATGGATCTGGATTTAACGTTTTCATAACATCTAATAAATCAAAAACACGCATATCAGGGCTGTCGTTTATCCAAAATGTCAATAAATCAGCGTGTGAATGAGCCAACAAGGACACCTGTCATTGTTATCATCGATCTTAAGCACATGTCTTACCCTCATGTTTTGGAAAGACTTTCTATCAAGTATCACTTAACAAAATGCCATACATCACGAAAGTCGGCTTAATGTTTAGATAATATTTACACACAATACTATTCATATTTGTTGAGATATTTTCATGTTAGTTATGGATACAGTATTATGAGAGACATTGTATCATTTAATGGACTGTGTTATCGATGCAATACACATCAATCTGATAACTTGATATCACAACCCAATAAATATGCAAATGCCGTCACTTTGCTGGAACTTCTTTCAATAAGCTCCATACATTGTTGCACATCGTCCCGAGGCCAGGGATATAACTGACTATAAAAGTCAAGTTTCCACCCTTGCCAAACAAGGCTGAAACTTCTGAGCTCGATCTTAGCGTGGGGGGGGGGGGGCAGTCAAGAGGATCTGATCGATAATCTATATTGTAATAAAACAGGTCTTACCCCGCGATTTGCATCAAATCACTTGAGCACCTTGATTAAAAACATGAAAAGACTTACAAAAAATCTTTCGATGCCAAGTTGGCAGTGCACATGCTTTGTAAAGCCTGCAGTCGACCGAAATCTGCTAATTGAATTCCATGTTGTTTATGAACTGGATGTCTAGTTCGTTACGCGATTTTGATTGGACTATGCAAAGACTCGTTAGTCCAGCCAAAATGTAACTCCAGAATTCCAGCCTAGTTTGGCAAGGGTGGTAACTGGACTTTTACAGTCAGTTAACTCCATTGCCTCGGGAAGATGATCAATGCAATGGCTGCTTAATCAGTACACTTGATCATGTCATGCATTTAGATACTCGTTTCTAATTGATTACTGATGAAGCAGTTTTTACACCACTGACAGATAATTACAAATTTCATACACCCCAATGGGAATTGCAGCACTTCTTACCATTGCGAATACAATGATATGATAAAAGTTTCTAAAACCTAAACATCTTTTAAATACAGTTTAGAGAACTTAACTTGGCATATCTGATTGTAGTGCGAGGGCAATAACTCTGGATGTGTTTTCATCATGTGCTGTCAAGATGTCTGTGAAGATATTTAAGATAAACAGGTGAAAATTGTGCTTTCTCGTGTTTTTGTAGCCAACCGCCTCTACCGAGTCCCAGTACATACATAAATCTCACATACAGGGTAAGTTATACCCTATTTTCTCTACACACACCCCCACCCCCAATTCCCGAGACAGGTCAACAACTAATAGAATACATGTTGCCAAAAGTCCCCAATACGTTTCAATAGGTTATTCCTGTTGTGTGTGAGTTTCTGTCAACAAGCATTGGCTGCAAATCAGTACATGGCTCTTTATCATAAATGAGGCCGTTCACTCTAGGATTGCATTCATATGTGGTCAACTTCAGTTAGGCTTCCTTACTTAACTGACTGATATCACAACATTATGTACTAGTCAACTTTTGATAGAGATTGGGAGTATCCAGGTGAGGTCTGAATGTGACCAACTCCTAGAAATGTTGTCATACAAATAGTATTCAATACTGCCACGGAACTGAAGCATGTGGAGCTTCATTTCAAGTTGATTAAACGCAAATACACAGGTCAATAATGTACCTGTTCCATCAACAACTGTGAGTATGGGCTATCTCAGTTTCCCTATCAAATGGTGAGAAGCATATGACAAAGTGAATACTACCGTATTTCCTCTATTAGACGCCAGTCATCTATAGATGCCGGGTCGATCAATTGATACAATTAATGATCCTTTTTGGGGACCTAAATTCGTGGTCATAGTGAAATGGGGGTATTAATAGAAGCCGGGCCTCCAATAGACGCCGGGCCTCTAATTGACGCCGGGTCAAAGGCTTGTCCGAAATAAATAGAAGCCCGGGGGTCTAATAGAGGAAATTGTCCATATCGTATATTGTATACTGGGAATAAGTTATATGTACTGTGCTTGTCAAAGGTTTACATGATACTTAATATATTGTTTATCCCTAATATAAGATGCTTCCGATACAGAACACACTCCGCTTACAGTTAATATGTATTAATCGTTGTCATTGCTCATTCTAAAAATCACGCAATGGCTGATAGGCCAGTTGTTGTCTTGTGAATACATATGCATCAGATTACAAACGTTTGATGGTGATCAAAAGTTCTAACTGTCACAAACAAATATAGCACCGATTCTTAATTATTCAGTGTTACTTGTGAACCTGTCTTGGGTAATAACAAGAGTGAGTGAGTATGGTTTTACGCCGCTTTTAGCAAAATTCCAGCAATATCACGGCTGGGGACACCAGAAATGGGCTACACACATTGTACCCATGTCGGGAATCGAACCCGGGTCTTCGGCGTGAAGAGCGAACGCTTTAACCACTAGGCTACCCGACCGCCCCAGGGTAATAACAAGAACAAAAGTAACAAGAGTAACAATAATAACAACAAGAATAATAATAACCACAACAATAATATTATTATTATAACAATAATAACAACAGGTGTGTTTTGCAATCCGAACCTTCATGTACTGTTACTGAGTTTATAACCAGAGTTTGATCTGAGTGTCATCCAGCTTGTAAAATCCCACACATCCTGTCAATGTTATTGACATGTGCAGCTTATAATCCATTTTTTCGATATTCAATGCTTGTCCTAGGTGATTCCCTATCACACAAATATTTATGTTGACGCCAATGAAAGAAAAGGATCTGAGAACAACAACAGCATCAAGGGAATACAGTACCATAATTCTGCCAAGAAACAAACAAGAACATCTCACCATCAATAACAGAACGACAGCAAGACAAGAACTTACCACATCAACATGTGTCTGGACTGGGAGATTTTTTGACTACATTTGTGTAATAACATATCTATTACTAATAAGGAAATTAGGAATAGGGAAATGTATACTTCTTAATCATCGCTCTGCCAACACAGAATGTTATTTATTCTATTTATTTATGACTGCATAATTCATAAAGTCGTAATTTTCTCCATAAGAGGTCATGTTATCGTTTCCGGCAGTGACTGAAAAAAATAGTTATGTTAATGCAGCAATATTTCAGCTGTATGACGAGGTCTGTAAATAATCAAATCTGGACCAGACAAACCAGTGATTGATATTATGAGCATCGATCCGGGCAATTAGGATTTGAACTCCGGGAATCCCAACAGGTAACAAGGGTGTTAAGTTTAATACAAATATAGATTCCCTTTTACGGCCAGCTCATGATATTAATCACTGGATTGTCTGGTCCAGACTCGATTATTTACAGACCGCCACCATATAGCTGGAATATTGCTGAGTGCAGCGTAAAACAACAAACCAACCAACCAACCAAGTTCAGGAACAAAGCATTATCAATTTATGATGACCACATTCCAGAATCACATGACTGAAAGGCAAGTAGGTCAGTAGGATAAAACATCCTGACAAAAATTACAGAAGTGTCCACATTCTCGAGACGACCTTGTGAAGCTCCGCCTGGGGCTGAGTCTTGATCAAAGACACATTCATTACCTCCTCTAATTAGTTTTCTATTGTGAAGTGATTGTACAATATATTAACCCTGTCCACTGACATCAAATGAGAGAGCGCAGCTTAAGATGGAGATAATTGCATTATGAACTATGTCCCAATGGAGGTTACAGCATCGCAAGCCCTTGATGACAGACAGCCGTTCTAGAATAATGAGTTAATGTGAGGAATACGAATCTTGTAGTGCTCGGCACAAGACACGAAGATTGTTTTGGAGCTAATAGTATTTTTGTGTGACTGGTACTTCTAATTGGACTTTAAAGTAAATTTATTATTTTTCAAGTATATTTTGTTATGAATTTTTATGAGAAGCTTTTCTTTTTGGTTATTTAACTGTACTGAACGGATTGTCAGGTTTTTATCAGATAAATATGAAAGTGGGAGTTATTTTAAAAGACTGTTTTAACAGGTGAGGTGAGGTGAGGTGAGGTGAAATTGGGTTTAACGTCGTGTCCAAGATTATGGCACTTATATAGCGACGTGCATGCACGTGCGTGTGTGTGTATGTGGCTGCTTGTACTAGTCCGGACTGATGCCGATTTATAGTGCTAGCCCACTGAGATACCATGCCGCAGTTTAACATGAATACCCCACTCAGACACAGTATACTGACTCCGAGCCGACCAGTCCTTGTTTTAGCCCATTAATGCCGAGCGCCAGACAGGGTAACAACAAGTACCATCTTTTAACGTCTTTTGGTATGACGCGGCCGGGGATCAAACCCAGGACCTTCCGCTCTCCGGGCGGACGCTCTACCACTAGTCCTCGGAGGCTATATGGTGACGGTCTGTAAATAATCAAGTCTGGACCAGACAATCCAGTGATTGATATAATGAGCAGTGATCAACACTGTCAGGATAAGATGACATGCCATCAACCAAGTTGCCAAGTCTGACAACATATCAATAAGGACAAGTTAACATCAAATGATCTTAGTTCTCATTGACTACTAGTACTTGAGGGCTTAATAACAAAATATAACTTACAGAATATGTAAACATAGTAAACATTTTTGTCTTGTTCAAGCAGGACCTATAAGCTACAAACTTGGAACACTAATGAAACAAGGCATAAATTAAACTATAGTGTGAAAAGCTACCGTAGGGTGCTAGACAAAAACTCAGACATTGACTTTAGCACACACAGGAAAGAAGTGAGTTCTTTTTCTTGTTCAGAAGCATTTGTCGGTTATTATTTTTCCCATCGAACAGGTTTGACCAGTCACCGTCGAGGCTCCTGCGCATGTGATCGCGAGAACTACGGGTTGACATAGAATCATCAAACTATAACAAATATGAATTTTAGCGAGTCAAAGTATGGCATTTATGATATATGTATCCATTCTCAGTCAACTAAAGTTTGTTTCAAGGCGTCAATAGCAGTAATCTGACCGTGGCTGCTGTTAATAACAGTGAGTTAAGCGATCAGAAGATTTCGCCGAAATTAATTACAACAATATTGAAAGGAATTTTGAATAAAATGAATGAAATAAGTTACAAACATAAGTCCAGATATACAAAGAACACTTTTTATAGCCAGACTGTGTAATTACATTATTAATTTGCGTACTTCAGTATGGATTTGTTGACATGGTATTTCCGGTGTTACGTGCTCACGGTAATGTCTTTCCGTTGGGGGAAAAAACCCATTAAAACTCATTATTGCGTGTATAATGCACACCCCTTCTACACAGCTGTGTTTTTTGGAAAAAAAGGGTGCACTATACTCAAGAAAATACAGTACTACTTTTGTCTGCACAACTTATTATGGATAATTGACATTGAAGAGGACTTGTTGAAAATCTCAAGATTTTTACAGTGTGATGACAGCCAAAAAACAGGATTTATGGCAATGATGAAATAGAGGTAGGATATTCACAGGAATTTTAACTTCTTATATAACCAGCTAGTAACTTTGAAACGGGAAGTAAAGCTTATTATTTTCGTGTTTGAGTATGTTCATATTTCAGTGAGAAGAGGATTACACCATGAGGTTTTGTAGCTCACCTGACTTCTCTTTCTTAATTTTCAGAAAACATTACAGACAATATTACAAATTATTTGAAATAAGCAAGCTAATATTCATAACTTTTTCAGGACAGCATTGCTGAGATCCTCTGGATACAGGTTCTACTACACCAAATCAGTACCAGTTTGGAGAGTGCGGTTTTCGTAGGGAGCCTTCAGTGCAGATCGAGAGATATCTGCAGGCTGTGATTGGAGGATATTCTGTAAGATTTTTATGTCTTTCAAATGTACATCCATCCAGTTATTAAAACTGACCATGTTTTTCTATATTTAGTACTGTCTTTTTCAACATGATGACTTATACTGAATGTGACCACAGCTATTTTCAAGTAGGTGACATTTGGTGCGAAACTGGGGGTGGTGTGTTTAGCTTCCGGTACTCGGAAAAGGAGCTGGCTAAGCTAGTCATTTTTATTTTTTTTATTGCTGCTCTAAGGCCAAACTGTGCACACACATACAGGTAATAGCTGTTGAATGCTTAGTTATTTTAAAAAAAATCATAACGTTACTATAGAAGTCTATGGGAAAACATTTGGTTGTGTGTAACCTGGACAGGTCTTAAAAAAGACAAATTTCTAAGACTGTACCTGTGACACAATAGGTGAAGTGAAATGGTGTTTAACGTCGCATCCAAGATTATTGCACTTATATAGCGACGTGCATGTACGTGTGTGTGTTTGTGTGGCTGCTTGTACTAGTCCGGACTGATGCTGATTTATAGTGCTAGCTCACTGAGATACCATGCCGCAGTTTAACACGAACACCCCACTCAGAAACAGTATACTGACTCCGAGCTGACCAGTCCTTGTTTTAGCCCCTTAATGCCGAGTGCCAGACAAGGTAACAACAAGTACCATTTTTAAACATCTTTTGGTATGACGCGATCAGGGATCGAACCCCAGACCTTCCGCTCTCCGGGCGGACACTTGTGACACAGTTAATGAAGAACGTGATCTACTCACACTGGCCCGCACCCTTGGTGACGGGTGCAATGGTGTGGAGGTGGCGGATGACGGCGTGGGTGGTTCAGCACCATCAGGCACCTCTGAATGTCCTGCAACAGAAGAGAAGAACATAACTACATCATCCCACTCCTAGTGAAATCTAGCTACAAATTATCAAATCACAATCCCCATCTCGTGATTGAAACAGCTGATTTGGCAGCCACATTACCACACAAGGTATATTTGTGAGAACCTACTTCCTTCTCAGTTACTGTTGGTCAGTGTTTTAAAATAATGACATGTTGTTGTTGTTGTTTGTTGTTTAACGCCGCACTCAGCAATATTCCAGCTATATGAAGGCGGTCTGTAAAATAATTGAGTCTGGACCAGACAATCCAGTGATTGACATCATGAGCATCGATCCACGCAATTGGGATCAATGACATGTATCAACCAAGTAAGCGAGCCTGACCACCCGATCCCGTTAGTCGCCTTTTACGACAAGCATAGTCGCCTTTTACGGCAAGCATGGGTTGCTGAAGACCCATTCTACCCCGGAATCTTCACGGGTCTTAATGACATGTACAAATGTAGGTTACAAAATGCACACTTCCAATAACTTCAGTATTAAACGTATGCATGGCAATGAGAGTCTATAGGTGACCCAGCTCTACACTAAAACCATACACTGTTAATCTTCAACTTATGTACATGAAGTCATTCACCAATTCATTCTGAACTATGATCTATTTTTCAGACTTCACACTTTCAGTTTCAGACTTGAGAGCATCTTGTAACAGATGACAGCAATGAACAGTCCTATCTGTTGCACAGTAGAATATACAATTAACTATTTATGAATTTCCCTTACTCAAACTAAACATGACTCTATGAAACAATCAAAATAGGCCCATGGTCAATCTAAATGTTAACCTCTTACTAAACTGGTGCAGAAATGTTGAGAGAAGAGAAACTAAACATGATTCTCGAGGAGTGTTTGTGAAATAGGAAATTGGATACGATGACATGCATCAACAAGTCCTTATAGTGAGTGAGTATGCGTATTTACACCACTTTTAGCAATATTCCAGCAATATCACAGCGGGGGACACCAGAAATGGGCTTCACACTTTGTACCCATGTCGGGAATCGAACCCGGGTCTTCGGCGTGACGAGTGAACGCTTTGACCATTAGGCTACCTGACCGCCCCTACAAGTCCTTATAGACACAAATGGTCACAATTAAACATTAAAGTCAAGTGGTCCATCACATTGCCCTGATGTTAAAGGGTCAAACTTTAGGGGCCCTTAGATTCAATACTATATAAGCACACCTCGAGATAAAAAACATTGATTCTTCCCTTCAATGTCTGCTTTAAGAACTGTCACACCAAACACTAATTAGTAGAGAAAATCAGTAGTGAAATTGTAAATATGTACATCCATTGTGCCATCCTTGACACTGTCAACTGTAAATCGTCAGAGCGCCAGGTATTTGGCCATCCAGTCCATAAATATGCCGGCTTATGCACCACAGATAAGAGCACATGCAAGTATCGTGAAACCTATTGGATCGCACAGTTGGTAAATCATTGCAATCCTACTATCCAACAAGTCCCAAGGATCAGGCCACCTGATCCATTAGGTCACATCCTACTTACAAGCAATGGTAAAGGTTGCTGGGGACCATTTCTCAGTAAACCAGGAATCCCGACAGAGATCACCGCTGAGACATTACCAGGACCACCCTTAGCTTAAAGCAGTTCTTAAAGCACACTTTCAAATTTTAGAATCAGTTTCCTAATCGAAGATTCCGGGGTAGAATAGGTCTTCAGCAACCAATGCTTGCCGTAAAAGGTGACTATGCTTGTCGTAAAAGGCTACTAACGGGATCGGGTGGTCAGGCTCGCTGACTTGGTTGATGCATGTCATCGATCCCAATTGCGTGGTTGATGATCATGATATTCATCACTGGATTGTCTGGTCCAGACTCGATTATATACAGACCGCCGTCATATAGCTGGAATATTGCTGAGTGCGGCGTTAAACAACAAACAAACAAATCATAACCGAACTTGAGGCTCACCAAACTGAGACCAAAACTAAGTAAGTCATTTCAGTAGTTCTCAGCCCCAGCCAACAACTACCATCACACAACCCAGGTTTGCATTGGATGTAAAATCAGTACGTCAGCCTCCATACACTCCCACCAAATCGAAGTTACTTCACTTCAAAGCTTTTGCCAATTGCTACCTTCAACAATGGCACAGAGAAGAGACATCGCAGCGTTCGCCATGGTCAAAGTCTGGGGCCTACCAGCTTCTTGTCAATATCACAAATGACATGTTGCTTTGGCATGGATGTCCATAACAGGTTCATATAATCAGCTAATCAATAGCAGCCTGTCAATTTCTAACAACTCCGCTCACGTAAGTCAAAATTACTATAGATAAAACCTACCATTTCCTCACAAAGCACCAACCAATGGCTGGTGATACCGAGTCGCATGTCTTTCTTCCTGCTGAATCAATACGATCTTGTCTATAGCTGTAAGCAGTAGTGGGTGAAGATGTCATCACACCACGTAACTGACATGAAATAAGCATTCTTAACTTTGTTAACCAGAATCTTGCCGATTTAGATCAATAGAAAGAACATTTTCACTTCCATGAGTTTGGTGTGCTGTGCTGTTTTTCAAATTTTCTTGATCTAATAAGTGGATCAATTTCAATTTTCCTTCAATAGTTGTACTCCAGAAAACTCAATTAATGACATAAGAGTCAATGTTATTCTTCTACAACTATCAGGGTTATTTTCTCTGGTTTCTGATCTCATGGCTCAAGTGAGAGTCAATAAACAAATTAGAACCACACAGAGCAGTCATTTCTTAAGTCTGTCATACAGACCCTGAAACAAATATAACCAATACAGCCCATGCAAGTCTATAATATTTGGCAAGTCTAGATTACTGCACTTTCTGAAGAATGCCCTAGGGCTTCTTTTTATTATAGTTTATAACTATTAATAAACAACTGTTTTTTTCCTGTCAAATATGTTCATTTTAGAGACTATCATTTTTGTCTCAGCAGCATATAACTGACAAACAACAGGCTTTCCTCCTGCTTATAATGCTGTCTACAGTAAGAACAGAATCATCACAGCTCAGTTCTTCTACTGGCTTAAGTGTTCACATCAGAACTTATAGCAAGTAATAGTTTGAATACAGAGTGGGCATTAATTCCAATTTCAAACCATGATTCCCATCAGGATCAATGTTATTATCAATTCTATTTATCACTATCATCATTCATATCATCATCATCATCATCATCATCATCACTACTTCAATTGCGGGTGACCACTGTCAATTGTCATCATCATCCATTATGATCATTGACACATCATCATCATCATCATCATCACTATCATCATCATCACTATCATCATCATCACTATCATCACTATCATCATCATCATCATCATCATCACTACTTCAATTGCGGGTGACCACTGTCAATTGTCATCATCATCCATTATGATCATTGACACATCATCATCATCATCATCATCACTATCATCATCATCACTATCATCATCATCACTATCATCACTATCATCATCATCATCATCATCATCACTACTTCAATTGCGGGTGACCACTGACAATTGTCATCATCATCCATTATGATCATTGACACATCATCATCATCATCATCATCATCATCATCACTACTTAAATTGCGGGTGACCACTGACAATTGTCATCATCATCCATTATGATCATTGACACATCATCATCATCACTATCATCATCATCACCATCACCATCATCACCATCATCACCATCATCATCATCATCACTTCAATTGCGGGTGACCACTGACAATTGTCATCATCATCCATTATGATCATTGACACATCATCATCATCATCATCATCATCATCATCACTACTTAAATTGCGGGTGACCACTGACAATTGTCATCATCATCCATTATGATCATTGACACATCATCATCATCATCATCATCATCATCATCATCATCATCACTACTTAAATTGCGGGTGACCACTGACAATTGTCATCATCATCCATTATGATCATTGACACATCATCATCACTATCATCATCATCACCATCACCATCACCATCACCATCACTTCAATTGCGGGTGACCACTGACAATTGTCATCATCATCCATTATGATCATTGACACATCATCATCATCATCATCATCATCACTACTTAAATTGCGGGTGACCACTGACAATTGTCATCATCATCCATTATGATCATTGACACATCATCATCACTATCATCATCATCACCATCACCATCACCATCACCATCATCATCACTTCAATTGCGGGTGACCACTGACAATTGTCATCATCATCCATTATGATCATTGACACATCATCATCATCATCATCATCATCACTACTTAAATTGCGGGTGACCACTGACAATTGTCATCATCATCCATTATGATCATTGACACATCATCATCACTATCATCATCATCACCATCACCATCACCATCACCATCATCATCACTTCAATTGCGGGTGACCACTGACAATTGTCATCATCATCCATTATGATCATTGACACATCATCATCACTATCATCATCATCACCATCACCATCATCACCATCACCATCACCATCACCATCATCATCATCATCACTTCAATTGCGGGTGACCACTGACAATTGTCATCATCATCCATTATGATCATTGACACATCATCATCATCATCATCATCATCACTTCAATTGCGGGTGACCACTGACAATTGTCATCATCATCCATTATGATCATTGACGCATCATCATCATCATCATCATCATCATCACTTCAATTGCGGGTGACCACTGACAATTGTCATCATCATCCATTATGATCATTGACACATCCTCATCACCATCACCATCACCATCATCATCATCATCATCACGACCCGTGAAGATCTGGGGCCTAATAAGCCTTCAGCAACCCATGCTTGCCGTAGAGGCAACTATGCTTGTCGTAAGGGGAGACTAACGAGATCAAGTGGTCAGACTCACTGAATTGGTTGATTACAGGTGATAGTGGATTGATGGTC